CCCGTGTCCTGGGGATCCCTGCTGGTCTCCCCCGTGCCATTCTGGCAGGAGGCAGCCGCAGCTATTCCTGCTGGCAGTGGAAGAGGAGCTTTTGCCCAGGGGCAGGGGAGGCTGGGCTCCTTCACAGCTCCCTCGCACAGCCCACGCTGGTTCCCGACGAGCTGCTGGCTGCTAAGGAGGTGAGACGTGCTGATCCAGCACAGTGTCACACGCTGCGGGAAGAGGGGCTCCAGCTGGGACAAATCCTGGAAAAACCGTGGCTGTGTAAATGGGGACCACATTTTGATCAGTGGGAAAAAAATCAACCGACCAACCAACCAAACAAACAAACCAAAAAACAAAAAACCTTAAAAAAAAAAAAGCAACAACAAAAAACCCCAAAATAAGCTTTATTGCAGTTTCCCACCCCAAAGTAAATTATTATAAAGGATATTTTCAGGCCCCTGTGAACACTTCAGAGGCCAAGGGAAGGAGCAGCTGGGACCCGTAGCTCTGGCTGATGGTCCTGCACACTTCATCCCTCACTCAGAGGCCCCAGAAATGCACAAACTCCCCTTTATTTGCCCCAGTATCATAGGATTTAGCTTTGCTGGGAAATATAACCTTGGTTTATTTTCTTCTCTACTCCTCCTCTTTTGGAAAGGAAAAAAAACCAAAAACCCCAAAAACCTGAACAACTCCTCACATCATTCATGATGGCCATGATTCTGTAGATCTGTGAAAATCAGTCTGAAGATCACATCATCCATGGCAGAGTGCTCCAGAAATTCCCTGAGTCCCTGGGGAACATGTGTGGGAGGCAGAGAGAGTCTGGCCTGGGCCTGGCTTTAAAAAATAACCCATCCTTATCCCTGACCCCTCTCCCTTGCACTCCAGGCATCACTGCTGAGGTCTGGAGCTGCTCACCAGGTGTGTCACACCCGTGCCAGTGTCCCTGTGGCAGCTCATCCGTGCATGGGACACTGCAGGGACACCCAGCTCAGCCCTGCAATGCCTCTGAGCTGACACAGAGCGTGGCTTGGGGTGATTTTGGCTGCAAATCTCCCTGCTGGGTTTCCACCCACTCGCCCATCCCTCGCAGCATCCAAGTGCCCCATGCCAGGGACTCCTGGAGAGCCCTGCTGTGGGCACAGGGAGGTACCAGCTGGGGAAGGAGAGCAATTCACGCTTTTGGCGTTCGTTTAGGAGCCAGAATTGTGTCGGTCTGGGGTTATTTTTAATTATCTACACAGAAATAGCAAAGTCAAATGAACAGTGGGCTCTTTCCTGCTCAGTGCAGCTCCAGCAGGGATGGGATTGTGAGACCAGACAAGCTCAGCCCTTGCTCCCTGCTGCCTGTAAAGCCAAAGGATGGCACAAAAGGGCTCCCAAAAACCTCCTGGGAGTCAGCAATACCAGCTGGCTCTTCTGTGCACAGGTAGGGGTCAGTTTCCAGGGAATTCCATGGGATTTCACCTGCTCACCAGACCCCTGCTCCCCGTGGTGTCTGGCAAACATGGCCAGTGCAGATGTGCAGCTCTACACCACTGAGCAAGGCAGATCAGTGCCAGGAGATTTTAAATTTTTTTTTTTTTAATAATTAAAATTTAATTTTTTCCTTTTCTTTTAAATAATAACTTTAATTGAAACATTTTTAATATAAATAGATTTTTAAAAATAGAAATAATTAAATTAATAAAAGTGATAAATTTTTATTTTTAAATAATTAAAAAAATACTTCTGCCAGGAGTCAGAAGAACAAAAAATAGAGGTGCTGAGCCAGACCAGGCTGTTCCAGCCCTTGGGGGAGGACAATTCCTGTGGGGAACACAGGGAAAAGGAGTGGGATTGTATGTTGTTTGTCAGTGGGGTGCTCACCTGGGGCGGGGGGTGCTCATCCATGGGGGGATGCTCACCTGTGGGAGTGGGAGGAATGAGGGATTTGCCTTTACAGACAAGTAAAGGTCTGCGGGTAGATAAAACTAGCACTGAGAGATAAAAGAAACAATGGGAAGGATTCCACTGTTTGGTGAATGGAATGAGAGAGATTTGTGTTTACAAACCGTGGGTCTGCTGATAAATAAAGTTAGATACAGAGAGATGAAAGAAACAATGGGAAGAAGCATAAATTCCATAGGAATTCCACTGATAGACAGAAGGAAAAGAAAAAGGGGAGGGTGTACATTAGAAGGGGGTCTTAGGTAGCAGGCATTTCGGGAAGTCAGTACCTCTCAAGTAGCTCAGTCAATGGGGAAAGAGAGAGGGAAATTGGGATAAAAAGGAGGTGAGTCCTCTGAAAATGTGAGAGACCCTATGGGAAATGCCCATGACCTCTCAAACAAAGTTACAGGACAAAGTTACAGGGCTCCTCTGTCTCCTTTTTGGACATGAACCTCCGGTGTTTGTGGGTGAAGGTTCCTGAAGGGGGATGCTCACCTGTGGGGGGATGCTCCTCCACGGGAGGATGCTGTCCTAAGGAACTGGCGGTGCTGGCAGCCCACGAGCCCAGCTCTGTGTGGCTGCCGGTGTGAGTAAGCACCAGCCCCTCCTCAGAGCCCACACACATCCTTGGTGTGCTCCTAAGTGCCACCAGAGGAAGGAATGGGAAGGGAAGGAGGCCCCGATCCGAGCCATCAGCTGTGCCCCCTGTGGGACTAAACCCTGCCCCCTCATCCTTGAACCCATTTCAAACACCTCGCTGGGATGGGGAAAAGGAAGAGTAAAGTTTTGTTCTTTCAAGTTGCTGCCCCCTCCTCTTGTCCTTTGCACCCCCAAGGGGTTTGGGTTTGGCTCCAGCAGCCTCACGGCCAAGTTTGTCTTGTTTTGGAGTGAGCAGAGTCACCAGCAGATGTTTGGCCAAAGGAGCAGAGGCAGGCTTGCCTTGCAGGGATGCACAATTAATTGCTGGCATCCTGCCTATGAAATAATCCAGGTTTCCTCTAGAGAATGCCCGTGCCTGCAGAGCTACAGACACACACGGTGCCGTGGGCTTTCACTTGGCTTCACGGGAGGGAAAGCGGGGCAGAGTCAGGCACAAAAAAAATCCAGCATGATGAGGAATTTCATCCTTCTCTTCCCAGGAAGGTCCTTTCCCAGGAGGACACCCGGGTTATGGGGTGGTGATCTGCAGCTGTCCCGGGACAGGACTGTTCATGTCCCCCAGGCTGCCAGGGGCAGGGATGGCTCCCACATCCCGGGAGCCTGGGCAGCTTGGAAGGCTCCTGGAGCACACAGGGCAAGCTGAAAGGAGCACACACACAGACCAGGTTTTTGGGTTCTGGTGGCCCAAACCTTGCTCCTCAAGGAGGAGCAGCCCCAGCACTTCTGGCAGCAGCATCTGTTTCTGGGGTACTTTTGTTCCTAATTTATCCCCTGTCTCCTGGAGCTATTATAAGCAGGTACAATCTGCATCACCATTGTTATTCAGATGATGTACAGATAATTTTAACCTTTCTGTTCCATTTGTCAAGGGGCTTTTTTTAGCCTCTGCGCCTGCCAGGCAGAGCTCTGGCTCTCCAACAGCAAAGGCTCCCCGTTTTGCAGCACCAGTTTCCCTTGTGAGGATGAAACTCTGCCTCTGCATTGCTCTGGGTGTCTTCTCCATGGCCCCAGATATTTTAGGGGATTTGGAGAAATGTGCTAGAGGTGGTCATGTACTCAAGCAGCTGCATCCACCATTCATCCTCATACGAGCATCCAATGTGGGATTCTATGGGATGTCCAACAGAGACCTGCACACTCCAAAGGCTTTCAGAGATTTGGAGCAGCTCATATTTAAAACATTCACTTCGAGGAATGTTAATGCAGCACTTCTGGCCTACACAGGAGGACATCCTCTCCTCAAACTGCTTCCAGCAGCACTGCAAAGTCCTCAGAGCTGAAGGTGGCATCACCACCCTGCAGAGCTCTCTCCACAGTCAGGACTGCAGATCACTTTTTTTGGCTATAAAATGAGAAGTCACTTCCCAGCCTGAAAAATGCTGGGCTGTCATTGCATTCATCGCCTCGGGAAGTGCTCTCAAAGCTGGGCCATCTCCTGGAACTCTACACTTCCCACTGAAAACTTCTTATCACTTCATGAGCCAGAGAAGTGAAAAGCAGATCTGTCAGCATTTGGGAAATAAAGGGAAATTCGCACAAAGTGAAGGGCAGGATAAAAGCAGTTCCTACTACAGGTCATTTGGGCTTAGTCCTTGGTGGCACTACACTTTTGAAACACACAGTGTAAAGCTCAGGTCAGGGCGGTCCAGAGAAGGCGACTGCCTTCATCCTTCCCTGAGCTTTTCTTGGCACAGGACTGGGAAAAAAGAAGAATGTTCTTGAAAATCCATAAACCATCCCTGTCACCTCAGCTCAGCCTGGAGGCTGCCACAGGCTGCTGCCTCACCTCTGGCTGCTGGAGAACTTTTCATGCTTTAAACACTCCCACAAAAAAAAAAAAAAAAAAAAAAAAAAAAAAAAAAAGAGTAAAAAATTATAAGACATGACTTCAGTGTCTTTGCTTTGGACTAGGCAACAGCATCTGCATCCACCTGACACCTCTGAGTGCAGGCATGGAGGGGTGGGCAAGCTGTTTGGATGCCCCAAAGGCAGGGATCCCAGCGGGGTTTCCAAGCTCAATGTGCAGGCTGCTGCTCCCTTGAATTCCTGCTGTGACATGATTGTCACCGTGATGCTCTTGGTTTCCCCTGGCCAGTTTGCTGCAGTGCCACCATCACCAGCTCCCCAGGCTCCTGGCCCTGGCTCTCCCAGCTCCCCCAGACCTCAACACCCCTCAGCCCCCGTGTCTGGAAGCAGACAGGTCCGGGCCACAGCTAGGCCAGGATATCTCAAATATCCTCCCTGTCCCTCTGCTCCACAGCCCCACACCCTGCCTGGGGTTGGAGAACATCCCATCCCATGTGATGGCAGTGCCAGCTCCTCCTCCCTGCCATGGGGACCTTTTCAGGGGCCCATGGCATTACCCAGAGTCCCCACAGCCCCCCAGCACGCGGTGTGCCAATGAGACCAAGTCTGCAGCGTTTCTTTACAACAATGTTTTATTTTTCTTTCCCTTTGACAAAAAACATTGAGGAGTTGTACATTGTTGGTGGTCAGCTCGGTTCCCCGTTTGGGTCCAAACGAGCAGGTTATGTTACAACATCCCACCCCAGAGCCTGGGGGATGAAGGCAGAGCATCTCCCACCCACCCTCCCACGGCCCCAGGAGACACCAGCCCCACGCTTGGGGGGCTCTGCCATCCAAGGCCTCCTGAAGGGGCAGGAGGATGGTGCTGGGACAGCCAGCCTGGAGGGGACAGCGGGGCTCCATGTGCCAGGGCTGCCACACCTCCTCGCACAGCCACCACAGCCCCCCCAGGAGATCTGCAGGGCTTCGAACCCAGTCCCGGCGCCCAACTGGGAACCAGTTGCATGCCTCCAGTGAACTCCTGCCCGCCCAGGGCATGGCCTATGCAGGCAGAGGTTGAAATACATCTCCCCCTCCCCATCCTGCCTCCCGTGGCCCAGCATGGCCAGCAGCCACCGAGTGGCACGGTCCTGGTGTCCGAGATGCTGTGGAAATGTCCAAAACTCCACAGAGGAGAGATCGTACAGCAGCAAAGCCGAGTCCAGCGCCTTGAAAAGCAAGGCACAGGCTGCAGCGGTGCCTTGGGGCTGGTTTGCCTCCCCACCTCGGCACAGTCCTGCCCGTGGTTCTCCTGGGGGTTGTTTTTGGTTTCAGAGACGCGCTGTGGAGGTGCCACCGTGTCCCCGCAGGTCCCTGCCTGTCCCCCCGCCGCGGGAGTAGCGCTGTGGCTGCTGCAGGAGAGGCAGAAGCAGAGCGTTTTCGGACCCTTTCTGGGTAAAAAGGGGCTGTGTTTTGTCCCACACAGTTTCTGTAGGTTGGTTAAACACAGGGCTGACATGCCAAGAAGAAGCTCAGGTTTGGACACTGCGCCCTGGGGGCTGTGCCCATCCTGTGCCACCGCTGCGGAGCATCACCAACACCGCTGGCCGGCCCCATGCCGGGGCTGAGGAAAGAAGAGCGCCCAAAAAGCTCGAAATCCGCATGAAACGTGCCCCCGCTTGGAGAGCATCGCTGCCTCCCTCCCACCCGCCAGGCACAGACACAAAAAGCCGCCTCCTCCCTCCCTCCGCGGGCTCTTACTCAGAGCCCGGCGCATTGTCAGACACCTTTCCACATTTAGAAGGAGACGATACCGACACCTATATTTAGAGCAGCTATGGCATCGCCTTCCCCGGCCCCCAGCGGCACCGTGTCCCTGGCCCCGCTCCCACGCAGTCCCACGCGGTCCCACGCTGCCTGCCAGACCCGGCTTCTCCCAAATTCCGCCACCCGGAGCAAGGCTCCGGAAGCTTCAGGGTGAAGCCACGAACTGCTCACGGATGGCTGGAAGGGAACAGTTGATGTCCGTGTCCCCAGCCACCACGCCACCACCAGCGACCTTCCCTGCGGCTGCGTGGGACGTGGTTTGTGCCCGAGAGCCCAGAGAGGGGATATGCAGGGTCTGAGCCAAAGGCATGGGAGAGGCCTGCCTGTGGAATTTTTGGATGCCTGGGCAGGTGGAAGTGTCTGTTTGGGAAGCAGCAGGGAGGGCAGAGGTGCCCCCCGCCATCAGGGACCGCGGGAGGCAGGAGGAGCTTTGGGGCCTGTGAGGGTGCACGGAGCGCACTTTGGCCATGACAAGGAGGGGGTTTGGTCCATGCACGAACCCTGGAGCAGGAAAGCCTCTTCACAGCCACTGGGATTTGCTTCTCACAAAGCAGAGCTCCCTGGGGGGAGCTCACAAAGCGATCAGGGCATGATCTGCACATGCAGGAGCAGGGCAGTTTGTGCAGCTTTCCGTCAGGAGAAGCCATGAGCTATCCAGGACCAAAGCAAAGCCTGGCCAGGGCTGCTGCTCAGCTGGACAACAGCCCCAAAGACCCAGACCACAACAACCTGCAGCAAAGCAAAGCCGTGGGCAGGAGGAAGGGCAGGTTGAGGGCTGTGCTGCCCTTACCTGTCCACCCCCACGTCCCATCTCCACTCACGACCACCACGGCCGTTCCAAAAGCACCGAGCATCCCCCAGCCCACAGAACAAGCCCTTCCCTGAGGCTCCAAAGGCACAGGAGGCTGGAGCACCCTCCAGCTCCCCAGGACCACGCTCAGGCTGACGACAGACACAGCTCATAGCAGAAACACAGCACTAGTCACCAGGGTGAGCCACCCATCAGCACGGGCCACCAGCAGCACCTCCCTGGGCTGGCAGGCACAGCACTGCACCCACAGCACAGATCGTTGAGAGCTGACAGCACATAATTAGCAGATTAATTAATGACTGGCACTGGAAGGTGGCCCTGTACTGCATTTTCAGTGTTTGCAGGAGGGCTGAGCCACCCTGCTCAGGACAAAGCTCTTTCCCCAGCTCTTGGACACCCACCTGCTCCCACACCGGGGCCATGGGGTTTGCACAGCCAGCCCCCCATGGCAGCCCTTCTCCAAAGGGGTGCCAGGCCCCTGGAGAGGGCACAGGCCATGGCTGCAGGGGAAACTGAGGCAGGGCCGGTGCCAAAGCCAGATGCCTCTGCCCAAAGGACAGATCTTAAGGTACATCATGCATTCACAACATCTTCACTGCCCTGCAGACACAGATATCTCCTTTTCCTGGGAAAACAAGCAAAGAGGCCTCTAAGAGAGAGATTTGGAATCACCCCCTTGGCACTGCTGATGCCAAGCAAGCCGTGTTCCTGGGGACAGCTCTGTGCTCATCCCTTGGGCATCCCACTCCTGCAGGCACCGAGCTGCCCAAGGAGCCCTCTCCACAGCCATCTCTCAGAGAAAATGCAATTCCCACCGCTGGAAACACCTGGCAGAGGGAGCAAGGTGACATTCCCAGTGCTCTGTACAGCAGCCCCCCGGGGAGGCTCGGTCCTGCCCCCACCAAAGCAGGGTGCAGGCAAGCAGGAGCCCCAAGGAGCTCCACAGCATTGTCAGGTGATTAAAACATATCTATGTATGTGTATATCTTTATATATACAGCATATAAATATATATACACACACACACCCCGTATATACACACACAGGCACACCTAGAGTTCTCCGTATAGAAATAAATATATGTCGGCGGGACGCAGGGTACATTTGGCAGCACTGAGCCCCCCACCCCCAGTACAAACCAGTTTTGCCCCCTCTGGCAGCCAGAGCTGCTCTGGTCTGTCTGGGTGCACCCCAACCCCTCATCCCCTGCACCCCACATCACATCTTGCCCCTTTTCCAGGCAGGATGAGACCCCCAGGGAGGGAAGTTCAAAGCCACAGCAGCACAAGCCCAAGCGACAAAGCAAAGGGGGTCCCTTGTGTACCTTTGCTGGGACTCTCCAACCATAGGGAGCAAAAAGCCCTCGGGATGAGCTTTCCCGGGGATCCCTCCTGGGACAGGGAGCAGGGCTGTGGCTGGGGGGGCTCTCCCTTGTCCCCCAGCACACCAACCCGGCCGGGCTGCTCTGCCACCCATCAAATGCTTCTCTGTGCAGAAAAAAAAAGTGATAGTAATAAATGAAAGTCGACAGATTTTAATTTTTTTTTTTTTGCACAAAGACTTCTTGGTTTTTTCAACGTGTCTTTTCTTTGTCGTTGGTTGGTTGTTTTTTTTTTTTTTCTTTCCCTCTCCTTTTTCTTCCCCCTCCGTTCCGGTCGGTTTGGGGTGGGTTGGTTTTTTCCTTTGTTTGTTTGTTTGTTTGGGGTTGTTATTGTTTTGTTTTGTTTCTCTTTCCCCCTGCATTTGGTTTTGGTTTTTAGTTTCATTCCCAGGCGTGGCGAAGAGCATGCATTGGAGAAGGGCAGGGCGGGATGGGGCAGCCGAGGTGGGGTCGGGTGGTGGGTTTGAGAGGCGGGGGGGGCAACTTCTAGCACTTGTCATCTTCCTCGGTGTCGCTGAGCACGTCGATGCTGGCCCCGCACATCACACCTTGCGCCGCGCCTCGCCGCCGCCGCCGGTAGTGCCCGTTGGGCATCTGCCAGCTGTGCCGCAGCGGTGGCGCTGAGCCGATGGTGTTGGAGCGGCCCAGGCTGGTGGCCACGGCCGCCTCGAAGGTGAGCGTCTCCTCCTCACCGCAGTCTGAGGCGTGCGAGTCGTCGTGCAGCGCCAGGTAGGGCTCCGAGATGTAGCGCTGCGGCGTGGACTGCCGGCTCTGCTTCCCCGCCACCGGGGAGCTGGAAGACTCGGCCGGGCCGGCCGTGCTGGGATCCAGGCTGGAGGAGAGAAGTGGCGAGCCACCCTCGCTCTCGTCAGCGGGAGGAGAGGTGTCCCCGGCGTGTCGCAGCATGGAGGCGTAGGACAGGAGGGGACGCGGCTTGGGGGGCACCGGCGGCAGCTGGCGGCGGCCTCGCCGGGGCGTGCTGGTGTCCGAGATGGAGGGGATGGAGCTTTCGCTCAGGGAGCCCATGCCCTGCAACGCACCGGGACACGCTGGGGAATGCAGGCAGCACCACCACACCACACCACACCACACCACACCACACCACACCACTCCACACCACACCACACCACACCACACCACACCACACCACACCACACCAAACTACACCACACCACACCACACCACACCACACCACACTATGCTACACCACACCACACCACACCACACCTCACCACACTGCACCACACCACACCACACCACACCACACCACACCACACCACACTGTGGGTCTCAGATTCAGTCAAGAAAAGAAACTGAGAGCTTCTAGCCAGGCAGAAGCCTGGGAAAGAGCTGGAAAAGAATGTAAATAATTCTCTATCTCTCTTGTTGTTCATATTGTTTATAGTTAAGTTCTATCACTGTGTGTCAAGCACTCTGCACCAATGGAGTGGGTTGTTTTCACTTCAGGACCAATGGAGTTGGTCCTCACGAAGCTCTGTATAAAAGAACAGTGTATTTTGAATAAACCGGAGTTTTACTCACAGCAACCTTCTGATCAGAGTCTCTTCATTCCCGTCCTGCCTCGACAGCGACACACCTCACCGCACCGCACCGCACCGCACCGCACCACACCCCACCACACCACCCCACACCACACCACACCACACTATGCTACACCACACCTCATCACCACACCGCACCACACCACTCCACACCACACCACACCAAACTACACCACACACACCACACCACACCACACTGTGGGTCTCAGATTCCGTCAAAGAAAGAAACTGAGAGTTTCTAGCCAGGCAAAAAACCTGGGAAAGAGCTGGAGAAGAATGTAAATAATTCTTTATCTCTCTTGTTGTTCACATTGTTTATAGTTAAGTTCTATCACTGTGCGTCAAGCACTTTGCACCAATGGAGTGGATTGTTTTTACTCAGGACCAATGGAGTTGGTCCTCACGAAGCTCTGTATAAAAGAGCAGTGTATTTTGAATAAACCAGACTTTTACTCTCAGCAGCCTTCTGATCAGAGTCTCTTCATTCCCGTCCTGCTTCGACAGCGACACACCACGCCACACCGCACCACACCACACCACGCCACACCGCACCGCACCACACCACACCACACCACACCACACCACACCACACCACACCACACCACACCACACCCCCTCTCCCCACCATCCTGAGCTCCCTTGGAAGCTGTCTCTGTCTTGAAAGGGTAATTCTGCCCCATCCCTGCCCCATGAGCTCATCGTGGTCTGTGGCTTTCTCCCAAAGAGAAGCACATGGGCAGGAATTGATCTCCCTGGTGACCAGTGACAGGACACAAGGGAACAGCATGAAGCAGTGCTGGGGAGGTTTAGGTTGGATATTTGGAAAAAGTGCTTCACCCAGAGGGTGGTCAGGCATTGGAAAAGGCTCCCCAAGGAAGTGGTCACAGCACCAGGACTGACAGCACTCAAGACACATTCAGACAATGCTCTTGGGATTCTGAGCTGGACTTGATGACCCTTGTGCTCTGTTCCAACTCAGGACACTCTATGATTCCATGCTCTTGGTGCTCAAAAGTGAAAAGCACTCCCAAACCCACCCCAGGAAGAGCTGATGGCTTGCCATCTGCTGCTCTCCATGGGTGGCATCTCCATGGGTGGCTTCAAGATCACTTAAGCTCTGGCTCCTCCAGGCTGGGACACCTTGATCTTGGCAGGGAGCAGATGCCATAGCAGCAAAAGGATCAGCATGAGATCCACCCCTGTCCCCAGATACTCCGCAGGGTGCCCGAGCAGCCCCAACCTGCTCAGCTCACAGCAGACACAGAGATGCCACCACCAGGAGATGAGACGGTTCAGAGCTCCCAGAACCAGGGCTTATCTTCCCGGTTTTGCCAAGGAGCTTTTTCTGTGCTTCCCTTTACGCTTAGGAAGGGATCTCCGTCACCCACCTGCCTGCTGGGTGTCTGTGACCTGCCCTCGCTGGGTGACCGGGACTCGCGCCGACGCTCTGGCGACTCCTCCTGTGCCTGGGGACTCCTCTCCTCGGAGTTGCAGCGGGAGATGTCAGGGGACAGCAGGTGCTTGCGCTCTTTGGACCGGCCTCGCTCCCTGCCCGAGCGGTGCCCCTCGGACCGGTGGCCTGCAGGACACCCACGTCAGTCCCCACCACCACCCCGTCTGCAGCAGCTCAGCTGGAGGGTTTTTTTTTGGCTCACCCGAGTCAGCGTTGAGGCGCCGGGCGGACAGCTGGAGCGAGGAGTGGTAGCTGCGCCGGCGGGACTTGTAGGTGTTGTCGCTGCTGCGCTCCATGGAGAACTCGTCCAGCCAGGAGCTGTTGGGCCGCTTGTCCCGGATGGTGGAGAACGATCTCCGCATGGAGCTGGTGTCTGTCACCACCTGCAAGCAACCCCGGCCAGCCGGGGACAGCATTGGCACCAGGCAGGGCTGGGGTCAGGAATGACCGCTTCACCCCCACCACGGGGATGGCCACGCTGTGGGATGGGGAAATTTGGGGTGGGGGCAGCCAGCCTGAGAACAGCCCCCCCAGATAATCTCTGCACAAATCAGAGGTGGGAGGAAAGCGGGGTTTAGCCTTGGAGCTCGTGGGCTCCCCTTCCCCAGCCGGCTGGAGCTGTGCTGCACAGGCAAAGCCAAGCCCAGGGCTGGGGGGAGAGCAGCAGAACCTCCCGCTGTGTGTGGGGACACCAGAGCACTGCCACCCAGGCTGCCTTCCCAGCATCCCTCCCCACCAGGAAAGCAGCATCAAGAGGAGCAATCCTTGAAAAGATTGTTGGCAGAGAGGTCCCCCAGAGGCCCCTTGCTCTGTGTTCGTTTTTCCAGCTGCCACCACTCTTCCACACGCCTCCCTACTCTTCCTTTATTCCCACATCCCCAACCCTTTCCTCTGCACTCATTCCCTATCTCCCCGCTCATGCTGTTGTTTTATCTTCCCTTTCTTTTTCTTTCTCCCTCCCATGCTTCTCCTTCCTACCATCTCCCCTCATTACACCCTGTGTTTTCACATTATGGAGAAAACATCTCCTCCTCCCATACTTCCTTTGCTTAGTTCCAGCAGCAATTTGCCACTGCAGCCTCGGTCTGTTCTCCATCTCCTCTCACTTTTCCTGCTCCCATCCCCTCCTTCTGGTCATCTCCTCAGCTGCTGAATGACCAAGAAAGCCCATGAGACAAATCCTCCCTTTGTCTTCACACCCTCACAAAGCGCCATGCTAAGACTTGGTGCCTGCACCAAGGTGAGAAAGCAGACTCAGAGAATTCACAGCAACACCAAACCCAAAAAACATCTGCATCCTGGGGGAGGCTGAGCACAGGACAGAACAAAGAGAAACCAGGCAGACAGATGAGGAGGTGAGATGTGGCCTGGGTTCCCCTGGACAGACAGAGAAGTGCACGTGTTGGGACGACGGGAAAAGACGGAGAAGGCGTTTCATCACCTGTGGTCATCTGACAGCTGGGCTGGGGCTCCTCAAACCTCAGCCAGTGCCCAGGGCTGCAGGAAAGGAGGGGGTGTCCCACAGTGGGGAGAACATGGCACCTCCCGGCGTGGTCCTGGACCTCCCCCACGAGCCAGGAGATGGATCCCCCAGGCTGCTCTCTGCTGCCAGCATCCCCCTTGTAGGGCAACAGCAGCTCCTACTTGTGCAGCACCCAAAGAAGGGAGAAACTCTGGTATCAGGGTGCTGGGGGTGCCACGGGGCTCGGCACAGAGAGAACTGCCCCAGTGTTATCCAGCAGGCTTTGATCAGACCCAGCACCTGTGGGGGCTCTGCTTGGTTTTACCTGGGGATCCACAGTGAGACGAGGCATGGAGGAGGCCCTCCCAGAGACAGCGTGGTCCTGAGTGTCCACGGGAAGGTAGCTGCCACGGTTAGAGGGCTGCACTCTTTGAAACTCCCTAACCTCTGGCTCCTGGAAATAAACACACAGCCAAGCTCTTGGGATGGGCTTGGAGCAGGGCAGCGCGCTGCTTTGGCCCTCTTGGCAGGGGACAGCCCTGCTTGCTCAGCCAGGGGCAGAATTGAAGTTGGCCAAAAACAGGTGGTAAAACACTAGCACAGGTTGCCCAGAGAGGTGGTGGATTCTCCCTCCCTGGAAATGTTCAAGGTTAGGTTGGACGGGGCTCTGAGCAACCTGGTCTGGTTGAAGATGTGCCTGCCCATGGCAGGAGGGTTGGAAATAGATGGGTTTTAAAAGGTCCCTTCCAACCCAAACTATCTGATGATTCTACGAAAAACAGAGTCTAAGCCGTTAGAATTCATCACATTGCCACTGAAAAATATCCTCCAGCTCACAGTCCCCAGGTGAGCCCTGATCTGGTGCTTCAGGCTTGCCTGATGGCCAGCTGCCCTTGCACCTCTACAGTGACAATGGAAACCCTGCCTGGGTCTGGGGGCACCCTGACTGCTCAGGGCTTAACTCCTTCCTTTGCCAGGAGGGGACAAATGGATAGGATTTTCAAAAAAATCAAAGCTTCCTGGCCACATCCCTGTCAAAAGAGCACACACTTCGCATAGCACTTAAATGCTTTGGTTAATTCCCAGTTTTTGGGGACTCTGTGGATGCTCACAGAGGAGATGTCGAGGAGATGGGCACAGAGAGACCCTGGAGGTCACTAGAAAGTGACTTTATGGGGGCAGGGGGAGTCTGATCTGCCACCTCCCCACGTGGCTGGGGTGGCTGAGGCAGGGGACACCTGCCTGTGTCCTACACAGGTGACACAGAGCTACAGACCCTGGGGACACAGACTGGGCTGGGGACGCACAGCGGTGCCACACTGCGTCGGGTGGTGCAGGAACGCAGACACAGAGATATATAGAGATGTGTGATATATATAGATGTGTGATATATATAAATATGTGATATATATATATATACACACACAGACAGACAGGAGGCCAGAGAGGGCTGCTCCTGCTGGAGACAGTTTGACAGCTTGGCTGGGGACTGGGGACGCCACCACTGACAACAAAATGGACACGAATCCGAAAACATCAGATACCATCACTCAGCACGGGGTAACCCACTGACATGAGTGGAAAAAATAGCCTGTGGAGAGAAGGATATTTTACTGCAGGACACTGGTCATGGCTCTCGCCCCAAAAGCACTTGTGCTGCCTGGCCCCATGGATCAGGGCAGGTCCAGGGATGGCCGTGTCCCCAGTGCCAGAGGCGAGGGACAGGACATCCAGGGATATTTGTCCCCTGTTCTGGATCTGTGCATGACCCAGCAGCTGCCATCCCTGTGCTGTGCTCACTCCCCACACCTCCCCGTGCCCACCAGCACCTGTGCTGGGGCTGCAGAGGAGCAGTGCATGAGTTTACCAGAGACTGGTGCTCCTGGAACTGCTCCTGGGCCGGATCCATGCACGCCAGCTGGAAGATCTCCTGTGGCGAGAGCGGGCTTAGCGAGGAGAACCCACCTCGGCTGCTCCTGCAAACACAGCCCAGCTTCAGGGAGGCCACGACCCTGGGATCACCTCTCCTGCAGCTCAGAGCTGGGCAGCCCTGTTCCTGCCCCCCAGGCTGCTGAGACCCCATGTTTGAGACAAACATCAAGTTCCCTGGAGAGCTGAAGTGGTGCCCCAAGGCAGGAGAGGACACCAGTGCCCAGAGTCCTGCAGCAGCAGTGGGACATCCCAAGAGCAGTGACAGAAACCCTTAACGCCTCATTCCCACCAGCCAGGGTGCTGGAATTCCCCAGTGCACTGCTCAACAGCTCCTGGGGTCCAGCTTCACCCTGGGTGAAGAGTGCCAGGATGATCCCGCAGGAAGAGTATCCACAGACCTCTGGCCATCTCCTTTTCCCACCTCAGCTGCTGCTGGCAATGGTGACACACACCAGGTACCTGGAATCCTATAAAAGCTTTGTGCCAGGATATGTCTCCCTGCTCCCAGCAGGAATTTAACCCCCTCTGCAGCCCAGTGCCAGCTCCATGAAAGAAAGAAGGGCTGCAGGAACCGAAAAGTGACAGGCAGCACTCACAGGCCCGAGAGGGTGTCCTGCTGGAGGTATGGCAGAGCCTTGGCGTTGGAGATGATTTCCTGGGGCAGAGAGGACGGCTCCATGCGCTGGAACATTGGGGCATTTTTCTGCATTGGGGAAAGGAAGAAACTGAGCCTGCAGGAAACGTGGATGAACATCCAGTGCTTCCCCAGCCAAGCTCCCACCACTGGAAAGAGGACACCGTGCTTGTGTTCCCTGTCAGGGGCTGAGGATGATCACAGACATGCTTTGTAGTCCCCAAACCCCGACCTGTGCTGTTGATTTCATCCCAGCTGGCTGCATGTTTGGGCTGGGAGGTGGTGGGAAGCAGAGAGGGTGATCTGAATGTCCCTGTCCTGCCCTGCCTGAGCCTCACCTGCTCCTCCAGCTGCTGCCGCTGCTTCTTCGCCTTGCTCTGCTTGTAGTAATCCATGATCATCATGGCTGCATATATTTTCCCAACAGTCAGGTCAGAGGCTGGGAGTGTGAGAGGGAACAAAATTGTGTTGTAAGAGAAGGCACCAACGTGGATCTTGGGAAGAGCCATGCTCTGAGATACGCTGCTGACCCTCAAACTCTTCTCATCGCTCCAAAAGAGAGAGTGCTGAGCACCCAGACACTCCCCATGGAGATAAAACAGATGAAGATGGCTTGAAATCATCATCATCCTAAGCCACCAAGGCACACATCCTCATCATATCGTCAGGTGTGCTCAGCCTCCCTCCCTGCTATGCTCCAGAGAGGATTCACAGGAGCCTGTGGCTTTCCCTGCAAACTGGGGGTTTTCCAGAGAGTTCCCAAGCAGCCAAGCAGAACAAGGCAGAACAAACCCTTCCCCCACTTCTCCCCAAGCTGGGGATGGGTCAGACCAGTCCCCACCTCCCTTTGGGAAGAAGTTGCTGTGGGGATGAGGGGAGTTTGAAGGCAATGACAGAGACTCACTTTTTGGCATGGGTACCAACAGGTCAAGCATCTTCTGGGACAGGTGAGGCCAAATGGTCAGGATCTCCTTTTGAAGCTCGGAGTCCAACTGCTGCCAATCTGCACCACCTTCAACAGCAGGGAGCAAAAACGGCCCACACACATCAAACCTTGGCACCAGGGTCCAACCAACCCCCATTTCCCATCCTGAAGTGAGGTTCCACCTCAGCATCCATCTCTCTGGGCTGGGAGGGCCATCTTCCCTCAGCGAGCCTGGTCTCCTGCTCCCACGGGGAAACTTTCCTACCAACCCTTCCATATGTGCCTCCATCTCCCCATCCCCTGCCCTCCCACTCAAAGCTGCCACCTTCAAGCGTGCCTTGGGTCCGTCTCTGCAGCTCCAATCCTACTCCAGCCCACACACACCTGCTGCTGCCCCACTTTCTTTTTGCTGGTGAGCAGATCATGTGCCGGTGGAAGAGCAGCTCCGCTTGGTAAATCCTGAAATGCTCAGCGAGGCTGTGCACGGAGAGCAGAGTTCTCTGGCCAGGGCTTTGCTGAGCTTAGGAAGGCCCAGGACCATCAGAAGCTGTCAACGTGCCCCAACAGAGCCACCCAAGCACAGGGCAATTTGGGTGAGCTGTAGAACACCCAGGTTCAAATCTCTGCGGTGTCTGGAGGGGTTTGAACCCATCCTTGTTATCTGAGCACTGGGCTTTGGATGACATCTCAGCCTGGGTTGGTTTTCTCCCAGTAGCTGAGCTGTTCCTAGAGGAGGTTTTAGTGAAAATGCCATGTTTCTGCAGGAAGTTTTTTGATCTGATGAATCACAGCCTTTCCAGTAACAACAACAAAGGAGGTTTTCCTGCTCTGAACATTTTATCTTCCCTGAAGAGACAGACAGGCTTCTTTTCCCCAAAGCCTAAGGAAGCCAAGCATGTATTTTCCATCCTTGGTTTGGCTTCTTACATGGGAAGGAAGGGGAATTCTCTCTCCTCTATTATATAGTGGACCAAGCTGTTTCTTTTCTCTGAAAACAGCTTCTGATGAAGAATTCTCTACCTCTTCCCTAAAGAGATAGATTTTTTTTTTTTAACAGAAAGTGGCAGAAATTTGCCTGTTCAATGAAGCTGCTCCCATCCATGTACATCCAGGCTCTGGATCCCAAATTAGCTGTGAGGTCCTCAGCCCGGCCAGAAAGAAAGGGACATTTTTGCGAGGTGATAAGATAAAGAAGAAGGATTTTAAGCTGAGTGAGGGTAGATGGAGCTTGGATATTAGGAAGAAATTCAGGAGGTGGTGAGGCCCTGGAAAAGATTGCCCAGAGAAGCTGTGGATGCCCCTACCCTGGAAGTGTTCAAGGCCAGCCTGGATGGGTGGTGGAAGGTGTCCCTGCCCATGGCAGGGGGGTGGAACAGGATGATTTTTGAGGCTGTTTCCAACACAAACCCATGCTGGGATTCTACCAAAGGACGATGGGCACTCTGCAGAGTGCCCCTCTCTGCCACAGCCTTTACCTTTGGCAATTTTGATGTCCAAGGCCGTGCGGATCAGGGCCATGAGGGTGGAGGTGAAGTGGACTGTCATGTCCTCGGCCACGGGCATGTTCATCAGCACCAGTCTCTGCGCAAGAGAGAGAAGAAAACAGCGGACGGAAAACAATATCGAAAAACACATCGACCAGGCTGGAGGAAAAGAAATTAAACATTAAACAAAAGGGGGGGAAAAAAAATAATCCAAATTAAAAAAAGAAATAAAGAAAGAAAAAATAAAAAGCAACAAGGAGTGTCAAAACAGCACAGCCAAAAAAGAAGGGCAAGGATCACCCCACCGCCCCCCCACCTCCCCGGCTCCTTCCACCCCAGGACACCGGCTCACTGCCTTCCAGGGCTCCTCCTGCACCCCAGGAACGGCCCCTGAGCCCCCCTCCCCACAGCACCGGGGCTGCCACAGCACCCCCTGGCACTTTTGGGAAGACACACCTGATCCGTCAGGGATGCGGGCACGTGGGATGTGCGGGAAGGGGAGATGGGCTCAGGTTTCCGTTCCCTGGGTGGTTTGGCTTTCCAGCTCTCAACCCTTCCCAGCTGGGGCAGGGGAGAGGAGGGTCCCTAACCTTCAGGGACTTCAGATCGGCTGGATTCCTCTAGCATGCTACATCCTGGCACTCCCTTTTTGCGTCTTTCAGAGATGAAGTTTGCCAGCACATGCAGGGGGTCCAAATTATCCATGGGTGGGGAAGGGAAAGGAAGGGAAGGGGAGGGTGGAAAAAGTGCAGGAGGAAAGAGAAAAGGGCAACCAAGGCAGGTTAGACACGCCATGCTCCTTTCCCACCCTGGCAAGGCGGGGTGCAAACCAAAGTGACCAGATCCACTTTCCAGAGAGTATATTTTGCTTTGTGAATACCTTGGGTCAGCCCTTCCCTGCCCATTCCTTTTCTCCCAGATTCTCACGTCCCTTTCCTGCTTTCAAGCCTCCCTTTTTCCCCCTGGAAAAGTGTGATGGTGGATGTATGCTCGTGTGAACAAACACGTGAGACCCAGAGAGGGTGGAAGTGTGTTTGGAGGTGTCCAGGAATCCCTTTGTGCTAGCCCTGCTAAAAGGCCAAGAAAAACCCTAATTTCCTCCTCGACAGCAGATCCTCCTGTAGCTCTGGGTCTTTTCCTGGCAGCTGCTGCCCTCAGAAAGCCACACAGCTCCCACAGCACATCCTCCACGGCTTCCCATGCTCCTGATCCATGCCTAGGCAGCTGGGACCTGACTGACAGCCACCACTCCGGGTGGGACAGCTCAGAGCTGCCTCTGGAAGGCCCCTGGCTTTGCCTCGCACAAGCCATCCCTGGGATAGCCCCTGCTGATGGTCCTGGCTCCAGGCCCAGCAGGCCTGCTCCTATGGGATTTGGGATTTGTCCCCACTGCCCACCTGCTTCCCATCTCCATGGGCTCCTGCACTGGCTGGGATGAGGATGGTTCCAAGCCCCTGGGCATGAACTCCTGAGGACATCTCACTCTCCTCACTGTGCTACAGGGCTGTTCCTCACCTCACCTCACCTTACCTCACCTCACCTCACCTCACCTCACCTCACCTCACCTCACCTCACCTCACCTCACCTCACCTCCTGCAGCCCTCCCACCCCCACACTGCTGCTGATCCTGCCTCTCCTTTTCCCCAGTGGAGAGCAGCCAGCATGGCCAGGGCTCTTGTGGGCACACCGGGCTCCCCAGGAGTGAGCCAAACACACGTTGGACACCCCAAAAACTCCCCAGCTTCCCCGGCTCCCCGCCTCCCGCAGGTGCCCCGGCTCCTGCTGGGCTCTAACCCCCAGAGAAGGAAGGGTTGATCTACCTTATAGGCCACTTTGGAAGGACATCTCTTGCCGAGGCCTAGCGGTGGTGACATAAGAGTCAGCATTTCATACATCTCAGTGTAATGGATTCGGCCACTGCTCATGGAGGGGGAAGGGGAGGGAGGGAGATGCAGAGAGAGGAGGCATTCCCAGAGAGCAGAAAAAAAAAACATAACGTACGAACGGAAAATAGTACAGGAGAAAACAGGAGAGATAAAAAAAAAAAAAAAAAAAAAAAAGAACAAAAAAATAAACAAACGGACAAACAGGAAAAGAACAGGAAACCCGTTAATCAAGGCAAATCATACATGAGAGACTGTCCTGATGTGGATTTATAGCACTGCTCACACAGACCCAGGAATGCTGGCAGAAAGCGACTCACCCCTCTCCTCTCTGCTGCTGGCCTCAAGCGCCTGTCTCGCTACCAGCCTGGGACGACTCCTCTGCTCTGAACCCCTCTCCTAAAGCCCTCCAGCAGCCCCCACCTCGTCCCACAGGTTCCAGGGCTGTGTGCGAGTGGTATAAATCAGATACACGGCACTCGAGCCATGGGTTATTTGAGATAAGGGTGCTTTGCACCACGGTGCTCTGTGGCCTCCGGAGCGTCTTCCCTCCCGGGGGGGTGCCTGGTATTGCCTGGCATGGCCACCTAACCCATAGCCAAAGGCTGTGTATCCCCAGCTGGTGGGGTCTATGCAATTGGGAGGCAGCATCTTGCATAGAAGGCAGTGGGCCAGGGTCACTTGTCAAAGGAAGATGCCCAGTTGCTTCCGTCTGGCTCTGCGGATGGACCACTTTCCCACCATGCACCAGTGCAAAAGGCATGCTGAATCGGCTGGAAAAAAACAAAACCGGGAGGAAAAGTTGGGCATGCCATGCTCCCGCCCTGGCTCTCTCCCACATGCGGCTGCAAGTTCCACCAGGTTGGAGTTTAAAGAGTCTCAGCAGAGGCAGCTGTTTGGGCCTTCCAACATTGGGGTTTGTTTGGGTTTCCCACGGGAGCAGTTAGGGCAGGACCCTCCCCCCCCCTCCCCGCCTTGCACTCCTCTGCTCCAGAAGGACCTGCCTGGGATTGCTGAGCAAGGAATGCCACCAAAATCAGCCCAGCCGAGGCTGCCCTCTGCCAGGCTGGGGTAGCTGGGCTGTGCCTCCCTCTCTCGGCACGTCCACATCTCCCAGGGATCCTGGAATTGGTCACCTCTTCTTCCCCTCATGCCAGGCCCTGCTCTGCAAGGTTCAGGATGGTCAGTGGGCTGGGGCAACCTCGTGACACCAAAGGCATTGACCCTCACTGCTGGACAGGAGCCCATCTCAGCTGGGGTGCCCTGTGAGAGAGGGCACTGCCAAAAAATTAAGCATCCTCATGGGATCTTGGTTTCTTCCCTAGGATGCACTGAGAGCAGTGTGGAAAGGGGAGGAGGTCTCCTCAGGGTTTGGAAGCAGCCCCCTGGTCAAAAAGGCCCCTATCAAGATAAGTCCTGACATTTCAGATGTGAACAGAACAGGTGACAGGAATTATTTGGGGTGCAGGCACAGAAAGGGCTGGGCCTGTCACACCCAAAAGATGGTTGATAAGAACTCTGGAGAATGATGAGCAGGATGATCAAGAGGAAATATCCAGGAGTCTGCAAGCAGCACCTTGGCAGGGCTGGATGAGCACCAGCTCAGGGTGAGATGACTAAAATTTTAATGCATGAATTCAATGCAAAAAAGGAAGCAAGACTGTGATCTTCCAGCCATTCTTCCTTGCAGGGGGAATTTTAGGGAACACAGCACAAAATAGGCACTGCCTTTCAGACTGAGATTCTCCTCACAATGAAGAAAGAATGGAGTCCAGGAAAGGAACACTTTGCCTCAGTGACCAAGAAGGTTCACATGAGAACTGCACACTTTGCTGCTCCTCAAAGCAGAGATCTTGGAGCTTTCTGAGCAGCACAGCTGTGCCCAGACACCATTTCCCTGTGGAGTGAAGCACAGGCAGGCACATGGAATGACATCCATCTGAGCAGGATTGATGCCTTCTGAAGGCTGACCTAGAACAGAGACTAGACGGAGCTAAAAAATAAAGCAGGGATTTATTAAAATGCCTCAATGGATCCACCTTGGGCAGCACAAGAGCCCAGCCAGGGCTGCACCCAAGATGGACCAAAATGGTCACAAAATGGACAGCCAGTCATGGGGTCTGACACTTTTCTGTAAGTTCTGGTCCATTTGCATATTGGAGTTAATTGTTCAATTCCAGCTTTAGCCCAGGCAGTCCCACCCTGCTTGTTTTTCTCTCTTCAGCCCACATTGTTTGTGCTCTTGGGCCTGAGATTTGGATCATTTGTCCTTGATCCCCAGCTGGAGCAGGAATTGTTTTGTCTCCCTGCTCTGTGCAGAGAGCTCACCATCCCCTGATATGAAGCTCAGAAGAGCACACTAAAGCAGCACAGAATCTGAAAAAGACAAAAGCTAAAACCTGAGGCATCAGGGTGACTCCCAAGAGCTGGTCCAAGCATGGGCACACCCGGGATGGGGGATCTGACCCATCTATCCATGTCTGGACAGAGATGTGACCCACAGCCACAGCACAAGGTGGCCACCAAGGATTAAACCCTGTAAAACCACCAGGGATTGATGGCTTAGCCCTGAGAGAAGCCTGTGAGTGGCAGAGGAGGAAATATGGGAGACAGGACATCTATCCTCCTGTGGTTAGGAAATAAATCCTGTACCACACAGGCTGTTAGGAAGGGAGCAGCAGGAGTGCTGTGAGAGTAGATTCAGAAGAGGTGAAGTGCACAGGGATATTATCTGTGGAGCATTCACCTGGCAGGCAGGGCAGGCTCTCTGAACTGAAAGGTGTGCAAGCTGACTTGGCATTTTGGGATCTGGCAAGATGCAACAACCACATGGATATATTTTTTTTTCTTCTTCTTCTTTTGGGAATTGTTCCAGGGGAATAGGAACTCCTGAAAATCTTGTGTTCTTGAAATATCTCCTGCACAGGGAGAAGGAGACCGAGGTAACAAGGTAGAGATGGGAATGGTCTCCCCTACATGACAACAGAAGCTGTTCTCAGTACTCTTTGCTTCTGCCACTCCTTGAGTTTATCCACCTTCACTGCTCTTCCCATCCACAGTGAGCAGAAATCAAATTGCTCTGAGACTCCCTCTTCCAAGGAAGCATTACAGGTACCCCTCTGAGCCCCAGGTGATCCAGCTTAGGAGAGCAGCATCTGATGTGGAGCCCTGTTGAGAAGGGCTCAGCACTCCTCCCGAAGGTGTCCTCTGCCTGCAGGGACCTGAGCAAGCATCCTCAGCCAAGCTGCCATCTTCTGCCCGGGATGCAGCAGCAGAGAAGACTGGAAAGACTCCAAGAAGCCCTTCCTAGAACAGATGACCCCATCTGAGATTCTTGCAAGAAATCTCCTGCTCCCAAATCCATCTTCCTAAATGAGGCAACCAATCATCCGGGCCTTGTCTTCTTTGTGCTGCTTTGCCTCTGGCAAAACCGCCCCCACGTCCAGCTGTGGAGGGTGACAGAGCTGTCCCAGGGGTGGCATCTGTAAGGAAAGACTTTCTGATGTTTCCAGAAGGATGTGGTGACTACACCACGCTGCAGCAAGGAATCCTCCTCCTCTGCAGAGGGAAGAGCACGGGCTGGGGTTGTCTGAGTTCCCTCGGGCACCTCAGAAGCCGTGAGGGAGGCAGAAGGAAGAGCAGGCTCTGTGATTCATCCTTTCATGACACAGGCACGGACAGAGGTGTCGTGGCACTTCAGAAAATGCGGCAGGAGAGGGATTTTGCTGAACTGTCACCCCAAAATAAATGTTTTAACAAAACCTCTTCAAGTCCGAGAGACACAAGGAGACCAAATCCCTGCCCTGGACTCATGGCCAGGAGCCAGGAACTGAGCTCAAGGGAGAGGAGCTGCCAAGCTCCAGAGGTGTGTCCTGGTGTCACCATCTCCCAGGCAGATCCAGCAAGCTATGTGCAAGACTAGCAAGAGTCCTGCTCCTCAGAGATGTGATTGTTTGTCCTCCAAAGTGCCACACTTGAGGACAGGGCTGTTGGGTAGAGCACAGCACCCCTCAGGAACAGGGGTCACCCTGGCTTCCTCATCCTCCCCCAGCCCTCACTGTCCAAAACAACGGCAAAGTCCCCAACATCCTCCAGCCTTCGCTCCCTCCTTCCCTCCTGAGGAGCAAACCCTCCCAAAAACCCGGTTGTCCCACATGAGGTGCTTCGAGGAGTCGAGCAGGGACAGTGGCATTCGGCCTGGCGCCCCTCAGGGCTCTCTGCACCGGTGGAACTGGGGCGGGGGGCTTGCTGGGGGGCACAATTTGTCAAAACCCATCCCCAGGAGTCTCTGAGCCCCCCCCCCCAGCCCCACTGATGCCTCCCCTGGAGGGGAACAGCTGCTGGCTCTGGGAGGCAGTGGACCTCTTTAAACTCGAAGGAAAGCAACGTCAGGGTTCCCTGGGGAGGCGCGGTGGCAGTGGAGCGGGGGAAGGAGGGGTGGATGGTGTGTCCCGTGGCCAGGTGGTGGCGGAGGACTGGGAGGCAAACCTTGCACGCCACCCTGTAGGGGCAGTTCTCTCCTAGGCCCAGAGGAGGCGAGATCACCCGTACTAATTTGTACATATCCTTATACGAGATCCTGCCGCTGCAAAGGAAGCACAGGTGGGTTAATAGGACACTGAGAGGGTGCAGGAGAGGATGGAGAGCTTAACGGGGGGATGCTGGGGCCATCTGTGGGGCAAGACCCCCAGCAGATCACAGCTCTTCTCCTTCTGTCTCTGTCAGGCCCAGAGAGGAGAAAAAGCTGTGAGCATCAGCTACTGCCTTTTCCACCATGAGAACTGGCTTGTATCTCCTCACACTGTCCCATCTTCACCCTGGAGAAGGACAGTTTTGGTGGTGGACACCATCCCGTGACCCTTCCTCATCGTGCCCCTGACCCCTGCACCTGGTGGGGGAGGGCTGGGATTTTAGACAGGGTGAGCCTGCAGCTTGGTGGAGTTCTAAGCCAAGGAGTTGTGCCCCATCACCAGAGCCCCTGTCCTCACACAGCCAACCCTCTGAGACCCACGAGATCCCAGTGAGGTCGGCAGCTGAGCCACTCGTGCCTCCAAGATCTGGGGAACCTGAGACAGGGAGGGATAATGTGACCAGCTGGGGGCTGTGGCACCTGGCGCTCTCGAGTCCAGTCCTGTGCTCTGACCACCAGCCCAGCTCTGCCAAGGGTGCACATTATTAGAAGCAGACCTCCCCAGACACACACCCCCATTCCTCCCACAGAAGCACATCTGCCCAGAGCCGCTGCAGCCATCCCAGGATACAGCCGTATCCTCCAGCACCACGGGAACGAGGAAGCAGCCGAGGCAAAGAGCTGGCAGGAGCGGGTGCAGGATGCTGAGCTCCCCACTCTGCTCCAGCCCAGAGCCCCCCTGGGGAAGCATGGGGTGGAAGTGCTGAGGTGCAGTTGCTGCAGCCTCCTGGGCATCCTTGGACAAGCTTGGAGGGAAACCAGGCGGGGAGGCAAAGAGCGGCGTCGCCGTCCTACCCGGCGCCTTTGCCTCTGGTTTCTTTCTCCTCGCTCCTCTCCCATCCCCTCTCCATTGCTGGCCAGAGATGAAGAACCAACCAGACCCCAACCATCTGGACAAAACCCATCCCTGTTCCCCCCTGGTGCTGGATGTTCTCCCCAGGTGAGCTCCGTGTGATGGTGTCGCTGTTGGGATGTGGTGGGAGCTGTCTGGATGTACTCACCCGTTCCTGGCCTGGCACCGGGGCCAGGGCTGCCACCACTGTCTCCCGTGGCCCCTAACCACTGGCTACAAGCATGGCTTGTATCAGAGGGGCACATGGCATGGACAGGACAGCTCAGGTTTGTTTTACAGTGGCTGCTGGACACCGAGGCCACCATCATGGGCGATGAGAGGGAATCAAGCGCCCGGCATGAAGAGACCCTTCCCAAGAGCCACCCCAGAGCGAGCAGCTGGGTGTTTCACTGCTCCACCTCCTCTCCCTTCTCTGGTTGGAGCTGATATTGGGCATAAAAAAATTACCTTGGCTAGGGCTGGTCTCCTGAGGGCAGGACACAGAGGCAAAGGGCCTCCAAAAGGAGTGTGTGGGGTTGCCAAGGCCAAGAGCTAAGATGGCACAGGTTCCCTGGTGGTGGTGGATCACAGCCCCAAGGAGTCCCTGGGCCCTGATTGTGCCGGGGCTGAGTAAAGGGCAAACACGTTCCCAGAGCTGACAAGGGTCCCCCATTGCTCTAGGGATGCTTGGGACCGTCCAAGGAGGAGGAGTAGTGGAGAGCAAGGTCTCTGCAGCAGCAGCAGGAGGAGCAGGGCCGAAATCTGGCCACCCAGGGTGTGTCTGGGCCCTGTGAGCCCATCCCACTGCTGGGAACAGGCTGCTGCCTCCAAACAGGAGCCCTGTTCTCCAAAGTCCTCATCAGCTAGAGCAGGAGTGCAGCAGGCAAAGCCCTCCCACCTCCAAAAGGGTGAGTGGGCTGGCCAGCACAGAACACAGCTCCCCAAACGAGGTCCTGTGCAGGTGGTTGGGCAGGAGCCCAGCAGATCCCCACGGGTGGGAACAAGCCCTGCTCAGCCCTGCTCTTATCAGGATCTGTGGGTGCTGAGGAGCAAGGGATGGAGCCAGTCTCAGGGCACAGGCTCCCAGCTGGTGCATGGGGACAGGAAAGGAGGCTGAGAGGGATCTGCTTGCTGGGCAGGGAGGAGAGGAAGAGCAGGAACGTCCAGCACTCAGGATGAACACCCCAAGGCAAACTGAACATCACCCAAGACGCCTGTGCCACCAACCAGTATAAGAACCAGCTGCTGTGACCACGGGTGACAGCAGCACATCCCTGACTGTCCCAGACATCACTGAGAACTACACTTCCATTAGGAGAACACAGAGACCCTGGTTTAAAACCAACTCTGAGAGGTTGCCTGGGAGAGAAGGAGCTGGCTACATACCACGCTGCTCGGTCATACTCTGCCCAGATCCGGACAAACTCATCCAGATGGTGAGGGCCCAGGATGGAGGAATCCCGTGTCAGGTATTCAAAGTTGTCCATGATGACGGCCACAAACAGGTTGAGCATCTAAATCAAAGGGGGAGAAGGCAGAGAGAAAGGAAATTATGGGGAGAGGGAGAAGAGAAGGGAAGGGAGAGAGTGGGGGGAAAGTGGGGGAGAGGGAGCAGAGAAGGGAAGAGAGAGAGAAGAAGGAGTGATTGTGGGAAAGTGATGAAAGATAACCTGATGGCTGGGGTGCTGACAAGGGGGATCCCCAGAGCCTTCAGAGGAGGCAACTCACCAGGAAGGAGCAGAAGAAGATGAAGGACACAAAGTAAACATAGGCCAGGTCAGTGCCGCAGCGCTCGTTCTCGTTCTGCCCGGACGTGGCCGTCGTGTCCGGCTCGCAGCCTTTGCCCTCCAGGCAGGACAGCATGATCTCCTGCCACGCCTCTCCGGTGGCACTCCTGTTCCCAACACAGCCCTGTCAGCAGCTCGTGGTGGCACGGGACGGGGTCAGGATGTCCCCCAGGAGAAACCTCACCACCCCCTGCCCAAGTTGAACGCATCTCTGGCAGGCGGAGGAAGGTTTCCCACGGTTGCTCACCTGAAGAGGAGCATGAGGGAGCCCAGGAAGCTGCGGAAGTTGTTGTGCCGGTTAATGTGGCTTTCCTCATCTAGTTTGATATTGCCAAAAACCTGCAGAAGGGAGAAAAAGGGCTCAGCTCTTCAGGCAAAAGCTCGTCAGCCAGGGAAGCAGCTGCACGTTCGCGTTCCTGTCCTTGAGAACGTTGCAGGTTGGGTTGGACAGGGCTCGGAGCAAGCTGATCTAGCTGAAGATGTCCCTGCCATGGGGTTGGACAAGGTGGCCTTTAAAGTCCCTTCCAACCCAAAGCATTCTCTGAGTCTGTGATTGCTCGAAAAGTACCCCAGCAAACACAGGCTGGTGCACAGCCAGCGTGCCAAGGAGCTGGTGCCAGGCAGCCATCGGGGAAGGAGACTCTCCTCTCCTTGGCAGGGATTTGCTGTGGGTGGCAAAGGCTGCGAGAGGCTGAGCTACCATGGAAACAGGAGCAGGGAGGGCCTGGGATCAGCTGAGTCCAACCATTCCACATCCATCCCTCGATGCCATCTGAGCACCACACGGCACCCAGCGACCCCAGCTACGCTGGAGGTGCAAGGACAAAGTCCCACCATCCTGGGTGGGTGCTGGGTCACACTCCTGGACACTCCCAGGAGCTTTTCCCTTGGTGAAGAAATGGTCTGTGATGCTGGGGTCAGGCACAGCACTGCAAAAAGGGTGGGGAAGGGCTCAGGGAGGGAGGGACAGACCCCACCATCCCCAGGGCCAAGCGAGACAACAAAGATCAAACTATGGACGATATTCTAACAGCAACCCTCAGCCAAGGCTGTTGTAAGACATACTGAACATTCGTAAAGTGCCTCAAATTGGAAATATGTGCTGTTATTACTGTTAAATATTTATTCCCCTTTCCCTGAACCTAAAAATACACCAACTGCAGAGTATTTTTTTCCCTGTACAGGTTTTTTGGAATGTGTAATTGTAGAATATTTTCTGCCTCCAGCTATTTTGCTCAAATAACGCCCACAGACTTTACTGCTTGGGGATTTGTTCACAATGGTGTTAAAAAAAAAGTAAAAAAAATAAATCTAATACTACCACCCGGCAGGGAGGGGGGCTGAGTCAGATGGCGGCTGTTTAGGAGAACACCTGGAGCCGGTGCCGGGGTGAGTAGGACAGGGTGGCAAAAAATCAGCCACTGGAAGATTCTAGACAGCAGAACTGCCAAGCAGCACAAGCCAGGGGCCTCTGTCACCCCCAAATGAGGCATTGGGTACTGTGGCAGCTCGTCGGGCAGCTCCACATCCCCAGTGCTCACCGCCGAGGATGCTTTGTCACATCTCCAGCGTGGGATTTAGTCACAGCAGAGGCGAGCCAGCCCTGCGGCACGTGCAGGGCTGAGGGGTTTGGCTCACGTGCCTCTTATTCACCAGCTGGAGCCCGTGAAGCTGAGGCCTCCCCGTGCTCTGCAGACCCCCCAGCAGCCGGGAGATCACGGCAGGGCCCGAAATGTGAGCACCAAACAGAGTGACAGCGACGCAGCTACAGGGACAAGACGGGTGGCAGGTGCCCAGCTGAGTCCCCAGGGCCACATCTCCAAAGGCACCAATTGGGAAGGCAGTTGTGAAGCTCGACTGAACAAGCCCATGGCAGTTTCCCCAGGGCCCTGCAGCTCCCAGAGGAGTTGTTCCATCCTCAGCAGCCTCCTGGCACTGCGGCTGGCTGCAGCAATGACAGGCAGGCACAAGGCTGGCTCCTGTACACAACACTGGGGACACACTGGCGTCACTGTCTGTGCCACAGGGACGCACGGACACGTCTGTCTCACCTGCATCCCAATGATGGCATAGATGAAGAAAAGCATGGCAATCAGCAGGCAGACGTAGGGGAGTGCCTGCAAGAAAAGCAGATGAGTTATCTCATCTCTCACAGGTCCAGCCCAGAGGAGTACAGAACACGCAGGTGAGCTATGCTGGTCCATCTCTCCTACAAGGCCGTGGGAGCAGCCTGGATTTGGGAGCAGCACACATCCCTGTGGCCTGGGAAGAGGCCAGGGCACACGAGACTGACCTTGAAGGACTGCACAAAGGTCCAGAGCAGGATGCGGATGGTGTAACCCTGGCGGAGCAGCTTGATGAGCCGAGCAGCCCGGAAAAGCTTCAGGAAACTCATGTTGAAGCTGCTGGTGTTCACCAGCTGGGAGGAGATGAGAGGATCAGAGGGAGGTGGGAGCTCCCACCACCACCCCACAGCCCACTGCTCCCAGCCCTGCTTCACCTTGGTGTCCGTCAGGATGATCTCCGTAATGCTGCCAATGACCGTGATGAAGTCAAAGATGTTCCAGGTGTCCCGGAAATAATTCTGCAGAAGAAAGAGGGAGAGAGGGAACGGGGATTTGAGCTCAGGGATGGCAGGTCTGAAGGTGCTGGGCCACGGGCCAAAGCTGCTCATGGCCAGTGGTGGAGACCTCGCAGCCCATTTGTATGCAGCCACTGTCAGGAACAGCGTCCTGTGTCTGAGCATGAGCATGCCTGCAGCAAGCAGCTTTTCCTGGGAGATGATTCATGCATCCAGCAGACCACCTTGGCAAATCGGAGCAGGAAAAGTAGCCACAGCCTAGGTCAGTCTGCAGCAGCTCGCCACATTGACCCTCATGGCCAGGAGGCTGCTTTGCCCTCCTCTTCACAGACACCAGGACACACCTCAGCCCCCGCTATTTGTGCAGCAGTGTGGGAAATAGCAAAGGTAAGAAGATTTTCAGAAAGCTGTAAAAGCAGGCCTTAGAAACAGAAAGAGCAGAGAAATTAGAACTACAGCTGCAAAGTCTGAGAGTAGAAAAAGTTACAATAGTACAGCAAGCAAGGACATGAAACAATAGCTTGAGTTTTAGACTTGGCTAAGATAGACCTTAAGACTGCAGAAAAATATGCTTAGAAAGATAGTAGAAGGTTTTAAGCTTAATAATGGTGTATTGTGTATTGTTAATAGAGAGCAGACAAGCAAGCATTGTGTGAAGCAGGTGTATGTGTGCTTTTAATGACTGGCTAGAACAATTGTCTGCTTTGGCAATATGCCATTGGCTAGAAAGTTGTTAAAATGCTCTGTAACAAAGAAATCTTTGGCTGCTGTTGGCAAGATGTGAGTTTTTGCCATCTTTCAGTTGTCTCAACCCTGTAATGAGGCTGATGCTGCAATAAAGCTGAAGGAACAAATCCCAGCAGTCCCGTCCCGTTTGTGAAAAACTCCAAACGCACAGCAGCTGGCACAAGACCAAACATGACCGTGACTGGTGCTACTGGGAGCAAGGAGGGTGGCTAGAAACCCTCCTGAGAGTGGACTTTGTCTTCCATAAGCAGCAAAGAATAGCTGAAGAAAAAGCAATCCGTGGTTCCAGATACTAAATGAGCAGCTGGGAGCTCAAGGACTGTGAATCAGTCAGGGAGGTCTCACTGCTGCTCAGGTACAGCCAAAGGACAGAAGTGCACCAGCACCTCCTGACTTGTGGGGACAAGGGAGGACAGCCACCAGCCTGTGCAGCAGCAGTGGGCTCCAATAGAGCAGCAGCACACAACATGCATGGTCCAGGCACAGAGCACAAGGCAAGAAATAAAGCAGCAGTGTGGCTTCTTCCACCAGCAGCATCCAGCACTGGGAAGTGCAATGAGGACCAAAGGACTCCAGCCCAAAAGCAGCTCTCAGGCCAGGATCCAAAATAAGTATCAGCAACTTCACGTTATTAACACCTTCCCTCTGTGATCTGTGCACTGCCAAAGTGCAAATTAACAGCCTCATAAAGAACAGGAGCAGGCACTCACCAGGAAGCCGAAAGCGATGATCTTGAGGACGCACTCCAAAGAGAACACCATGGTGAAGGCAATGTTCAGGTACTTGAGGGCCAGCTCATAGGTGTATGGAGCAGAATAGTACTGATGGAAACAGAGACAGCACTAGCCAGGAGGGGGTCTGCCAGCCTTGTGGCTGATGACTGTCCCAGCACAAGTCTGACATGGCCTATGTTTGCTGCCCTGGCTGCCTCCAGAATTCCTTCCTTTCCTCACCCCTCCCTCAGGACAGGCCTGTGATGGTCCGTGTTCCTTGCCTTGGGGGCCTCAAGAACATCTCCTCCTTATTTTCTCCATCCCTCTCCCAGGACAGATGCCACTTCTTCTAAGAAGGGAGCACAGAGCACTTTTCTTTTAGAAAAGGTGCCACCTCCACTTTGGGCCCTGTGTTGTTTCACGTGGATGTGCCCAGGGAATTCACACACAGTCTCAAAGTATCTCCACAACCAAAATTCCCTCTGCTCCCATCCTGACTGGTCCTACTGCTCCAAACGAAGAGGCCAGCCTCCCTCTGACCACCAGCTCACCTTCATCATGAGCACCACGGTGTTGAGCGCAATCATGGCCATGATGGTGTACTCGAAGGACGGGGACACCACGAAGTGCCACACGCGGTACTGGAAGGTGTGTCTGTTCTGGGGCATGTACCGCGTCAGGGGCTTGGCGCTGATGGCAAAGTCAATGCAGGCCCTCTGCAACAAAATAACGCCCATCAGGCCCTCATGGACACCTGGGAGGTGCTGGTGGCTGCCACAATGCTTTCCTTCATGGTCTGCGGAGGCAGCTGGCTCATGGGTTTCTCACCTCTTCAATAGCAAGGTAGTTCCAAGCTCCCAGATTGCTAAAAACCCCATGGAAATGTCCTCATTCCCCTTCCCCAGACCATACCTCGTTCTTCTCCAGGCTGCACTCCTCCATCATTTTGTCTCCTTGCTCTTGGAACGTGATGATGATGAGAGCCACGAAAATGTTGACGAAGAAGAAAGGGAAGACCACGAAGTAGACGACATAAAAAATGGACATCTCCATGCGGTTGCTGCGGCTGGGCCCGCGGTCCTCCTCCGTCACATCCACCGAGTGCTGCAGCACCCTGTGGGCAGAGAGGTGAAGAAAAGCAACCAGGAATACATGCATCACTTCCAATGGGACCCAGCTCTGTCTGTCCATGCTTGTATAATGACCAGGTAAAGCTCTGTCCTAATCTGCTTTCAAGGATGGCCCTTTTAAATGGCTACAGCTTGTTTTATGGTGCTTTGCTGCGTCCCTGATGGAAAAGGGATTTTCCCGTCTCTGCACACAGAAAAGAATATTGCCCAAACTCACATGAGCATTTAGAGAGGTCCAGTCCAACTGTTATCCCTAATATTGACTTAAAATATATCTCCAGGCCACGCAGAAAAGGCGTTATCCATCATTCTCTCCCTAAGGAAGAAGCTAACCCCAGCCTCATAGCGGGGCTAAAAGCTCTTTTGTGCTGGTATAATTTTTTATTCTCTCGGCCTCCCTGCCCAGCAGCTCCTCTCTCAGTCTCACTGGGCGTAACCTGACCATCCCAGCAGGGTGACCACCCCTATTCAAGGGGACAGACGGAGCAGAATACTCACTGGGGCCACCCTTCACCAGTGGACACAGTGAACAGGGTGAGCAGAGCCCAGATGATATTGTCATAGTGAAACTCGTGCCGCTTCCACTCCCGGCATTTCACCTCCATCTTGTTCTTCTCGTGGTCCACGTAGTTCCCTCTGCAAGGTGGAGAGGGAGCAGTGACCTTGGGTTTTTGGGCTGCCAGAGTATGGGATGGTGGGTTTGAACGCTGGGGGCAGCGTGGGTGTGTGCGGGGGTCTCCTCCCGCAGGTAGAGATGGGGAGAAGCTGGATGACAACCATGAGGCAAGGGGAGAGAGAAGGGGAAAGTAAAACAGAAGAGTGAAGGGGAAAAGAAGACGAGCAAATTAAGGGCTCTGCACCCCACAGCAGGATAGGCCACAGTACTCAGCCCATGCTGTCCCCAGGAGCAAATCACGGCCAAAGACTTAAGAGGGACGCACAGCAGACATGACCCAGTGCCCTGCCCTTGCCAGAGGGGTCAGAAGCACCAAAGCTACTCCACAGGGCACCCACATGCAGTCCTTCTGTGTGTCCTTGGAGCTGTCGGTGCAGTAGAAGAACTTCCCCTTGAAGAGCTGCACGGCGATGACGGCGAAGATGAACATGAAGAGCTTGTAGACAATGAGGATGTTGAAGACATTCTTGAGAGATGTCACGACACAGTCAAAAACAGCCTGGAAGAGAGGGCAGAGCTCACCCTGGGGAACCCACAACCCTGGACCAAGACCAGGGTACTTGCTGGGAAATGAAGGAAAGAGCTGGGTTTTCTCCCAGGCCAAAAGCTATTTTGTGAATGAGGTTAACACCCAGAGCACCCACAGCACATGTGCAGCCCCTGAGACAGCACCAGGGATGGATATTTATGTCCTCTGTGTTCTCTGCAACCAGGGAAACAGACGGGGGACCATCCTAATGATGCAATTAGCAGCACTCAAGACTAATTAGCAAACACTTCATCATTTTGCATCACCCCAAATAACAAGGCAGAGCAAATACCTCTGCCTGCCACAGCAGCACGTTCCTTATTACTCTCAGCCCTGGCCCTCACAGCACTTCAAGTGGGGATTGTCCTTATCCCTGTTTCATGATAGAGACAAGCACTTCCAGAAAGGAACTGACACAGGCTGACTCCATCCACTGATCAGGAAGAAAAGCTGGGATCAACCCCCATGGTTCTGGGGTGCCACCCTGGGTCTCATTAATCAGCCAAACCACTTAAAAGTGAAAAAAAAAAAGGGCTTCCTTGTTCTCATACTATTTTTTGTCTCTGCACCCCATCAGCTAAGGTAGGGAAATTCATAATCCTACCTGTGATGCAGAAATAATCCCATTACTGAGATGGGAAATCCCTCTCCAGTGCAACACTGTGACAGCACAGCACACAAAACCCCGAGCTGTTTGCAACCTGCTCTGGTGGGAAAGATGAAAAACGCTGCACAGAGATTTGAGCTCTGCAAAACCAGGGCAGCCTATTTTTCAGCAGAACATCTGGGCTTTGCTCCATTTTGTCCACTCAAGCCCCACTTTCCCTGGCAGAGGAACTACTTCTGGACACCTTGCAGAGGTCCAGGCTTGCTTTTAAAAACTCACTGCACCTCCAGACACAAAGAAGTCTGAAAGGCGTAGTGGTTGCAGGCAGGGCTCCAAAGCTATTCCCCAAAAGCTTTGAAAACAACTTGTTTATTGCTCACAAGCAAATCACTGGGGTGGTCCCTGCTCCCAGAGAAGAGCAGAAGAGTAAAGCAGGAGATGGAGCTCGTTACCTTCAGCTTGGGCAGTCTCTTGATGGTTTTCAGGGGCCTCAAGACCCGCAGCACACGGAGAGACTTGATAGTCTTGATATCCCGGCCTTTGTTGGTCCTGCCGTGTCGGAGGGAAGCACACGCACCCAAAAATGGAACAGAGAGACAATAACCTTGTAGACCTGGGTGCCCTAGGGAGCTGACATGCCAACAACACCCCCCCAGCACGTGTGAAGATGGGAACAGGAGTGGCACAAACACTGCTGAGCTCCCAGCCCACCTAAACGCGGCTCCTCCAACACACGTGCTGACAGCCAGCAGAGATGGAAAACAAGGCAATCCTCTCTTTCCCGGGATTAGCACTCTTCCAGTGACCTTAACAAACCCCTCGCTGTGGGAAGCAGTGCCAGGAGGTTTGCAGGGCACAGGCTTTGCTTCCCTCCTTCGGGCACACGCTTTTTGCAAATGGGGCTTGCACGGGGTCACCACCGCTGCAAATTGTTTCCTGCCCATTGCAAGAAATTCAGAATAAAATGAGGGAGGTTCACTCAATGGGGTCTACATTGCCAGGGAAATTGTGGGTGCCTCATCCCTGGAAGTGTTCTGGGCAAAGTTAGATAGGGTCCTGAACAGCCTGGTCTAGTGGAAGGTGTCCTTAACTGAGGCACAGGGGTTGGACCCTTGGAAGGGTCTCAAAGGTTTCTCCAGATCAGGGCTACTCTTGCCTTCACCCCAAGTCAGCTGAGGGAGGCAGAGCTTACCAGTAGAATTCTTTAGAAAAGACCCCCTCATGACCCTAATTTCTTGCATATGATGATTATTCCCCAACCACGATACCAGGTGCTTTTTTTTTTTTTTTTCTTGTCTTTTAACTAAAGACTGGATCTCAGGGTGGAGCAGCGAGGTCCTGGTGAAGGTGGAACAGCTTGGATCCACCAAGGCACCCTTGGAAAACGTCGAGGAAATTACTTGCAACAACAGATGCTCCCAATTACACAGCTCCTTGGCGAGGGTTAATGCAACAGGGAGTACAATAATGGGCTTAATCATGACGAGATGTAAACAAAACCACTAATTAATAGCCCTCCCTAGGAGCACAGCCCTCACATGCATGGGAAGCAACTGTACAGATGGACCTAGGACTCACTTTGCTCCTGTTCTGCTCAGAAATAGGGCCTGGATAAGTGGCTGGAGCATCTGGCTGAGGGCTGAGGTAAGGGTTTGAGGTTGGCTGGTGCCAAGTTGTCACCAAGGACACCCCAACTACATTGTCTGACACCTGCTGAGGAGGGATCCCTTCGGCCCTCAGCAGTGCCTGCAGAGCAGCGTGCTGCAGTCGCTGAAAATGCAGCTGAGGCTCAGCCCAGGTGTGGGAGAGGCTGACCTCCACCTGCACCCACCCCCCTGCATTCCCAGGAGCAGCACCCCACAAGATCTCCAGCACTATAGTTACCCCAAAGCATTCCTGTCGGCGATCCAGCCCGGCAGCCACCAAGCAGCACCAGCAGAGAGAGGGGAAAAAGAAAGAGAGGAGGAAGATAAGAAAAGTGTCAGAGGAGCTGCATGGGGACCCTGCAGCAGCTGCCCACCACCCCAGACCTCAGGAGAAAGGCACAGCTTGTAGACCATGTTGTACCCTTCAGCATGGGGCACATCTCCAGAGATGGACTCGTCCAGAAGCCCCTCCTGCCCTCCCTGCTGGAGGTTTTGGGTGGAGGGCACGTGGTGAAAGCTCTGCTGCAAGAGGAACCTGCATGGCGTGGACAGAGGGCAACAGCAGGAAGGCACACGGTCCTCCTCAGCCAAGAGTTGTGGGGCCAGTGAGCCAAAGGCAGGGGCCTCCAAGGGAACCTACATGCAAGCCACAATAGTTCCCATCCAAATTCTGCTAAATCACCTCCACTGAGAGCTCCACTGACTAAGAGCCCGAGCTGCAGTGCAGAATCTCCTGCAAGCCAGCAGGACACTTGCTTGGACAAACCAAGGTGGGCTCCAAGGTCCCTGGTTGTAACCAGAGCCAAGTCCCTGCCATGTGCACACAGGGTGCTCAGCACTGGGGGCAAAGCCTGTAAGTAAAACATTTTCTAAAACACATAAAACTTAACACCAGCCCCTGGCTGTGTGTCAGTCCAACATGTGGGAGGTGTGCTGAAAAGGTGACAATTTAATTTTGCAGCTCTTCTGTGGTGGGACCTCTGCCCTGACCTGCCTCACACCAGGTTATTTTGCAGGACCTAGGGGTCCTTCTTTCTTCCAGAGCCTGGTGCCAATGGGCACAAGGAGATGATGCAAGGAATGAGGCTCCTCTGCTGGGTAATCAGCCCCTGCACACCAAGGGCTCCACACTGGCCACTCAACATCTCCACCAACCTTTCCACCCTAGACAGCTCTGCAAAACTGCTGTGAAATGCCTCCTCGGAGGAAGGCAAAGGTGAGCAGGGTCTTTAGTTGTGGTTATGGTTATTTCAGCTAATTTAATTTAAACTCTTCGGAGATTTCCAGCTTTTTATTTAGGCTGTGTATGGATTGATGAATTAGCTTTCCATGTGGGGAACTATAGATGAATGGAGACCGCCTCTCTCAGGATTTGTGGCCTCCGAGGGAGCAGTGGACAAGCCACAGTGGCTCACAAAGGGACGTTTCTGTGGGTGGACACTTGGTTCTCGGTGATTTGGATGTGGCACAGACAGCCTGTGGGTGATGGTGGCACTGCTGAACCAGCTCAAAGACCTCCTGCTGTGCCCACGGCCACCCAGGACACCTGTGGGAAAACCTGAGTGCAGAGGGGAGGCAAAAGGAGTGGGAAACCTGCATGGCACATCCCAGCATTCCTACTGGGAAGGGCTGGACTCAGTCACCAGCTGCTCTTATCCTGGTCCTTGCCACAGCCACTCCATGGGCACTGCTGTTCCCACCCCATGGAGGAGAGGAGGAGGAGGAAAGGAGGAAAAGGAGAAGGAGAAGGAGAAGGAGAAGGAGAAGGAGAAGGAGAAGGAGAAGGAGAAGGAGAAGGAGAAGGAGAAGGAGAAGGAGAAGGAGAAGGAGAAGGAGAAGGAGAAGGAGAAGGAGAAGGAGAAGGAGAAGGAGAAGGAGAAGGAGAAGGAGAACATTCCCCATGCCCTGGCCCCACTTCAAAGAGCTCACAGAGGGAGAAGAAAAGTAGACAGATTGGAACATCACCACCAGACTTTTCACCTGGAGATCAGGAGGGAGGGAGGGAGGGAGGGTGGGTGGCAGGCTGGGACATGGAGAGCTGGTGAATATCCTGCAGCTCCCACGGCTTTGGCAGTGCTGGGCTGCTGAGGGGAGAGGCAGGTGTTCTTATAAATGCTTTATAATGCATGAACCCATCGGAAATCACCGTGGTGCCTTTGTTCCCTTCCCTGCCGAAGCCATGAGCTCATCTCCTCCAGCAGGAGCCACACTGGAGGCAGGGCAGATGGACAATCCTGCAGGTTTACATGATAAAAAGCCCTGTCCATGGCAGAAGCAGCTCAGTGCCTACCCAGCTACAGCTGCAAGAGAGAGCAGGAGACACCAGTGCTTGCTGCAAACGGGGTGCTCACCCTCGAGAATTCAGCTGCCCCATGCCCAGAGGGAACATCCTTCCCTCAGGAAGATGGGTGGAGGCAGGCAGGTGGCAAACAGGGCTGGAAGGTGCCGGGCAGCTTCCCCACATGCTCAGTGCTGGGCCCTGCCAGCCGCAGGGGCCACCGCAGGAATCGTGCCACCCTTGTGGGGTGAGGGCAAGGGGACAGTGCATTGGTGAGGTCACACCCCCACCCAGGAGCAGGCTGAGCCAACAACCTGTGCTCCTTCAGCCATCAAAATTCTTGATGGAAGTCGCCTTGGAAGGAAAAAGCTCCCTTGTCCTCCTCAAACCCCTCAGTGCATCTTCAGGCTGCTGATGCCCTTGAGCCCTGCCAGCTTGGACGGGCTGTCCTGGTAGAGCAGGGATCAGCCTGACCCTGGAGATGCTCCATCCACCCTGTGTGGCCTTCCAGAGGCTCAGAGCATTGTCCCCGGGCAGCAAACCTGCCCCAAGCCCTTTCCCCCCGCCGGGGTCTGCGCTCAGCCCCCTGCCCTGCCCAGGGACTCTTCATCCCTGTGCTGGGCGAGCTGAATTCTCCCATGCTCTTGCCAAGGACAGAGCAGGGGCTGGAAGCACTGGGTGAGGAATGGGGTGAGTAGGGTGAGGAAGGCACAAGCAACGAGCCAGAGGGGCACAAGTGGTGAGAACCAGGAGAAGGAGCTGCTGCCCAGTCGAGGGTGAGGTGGGAGGGATGGATTACGGGCTGTAATCCATCCAGGGACCTCGTGGGCACCCCAAGAGCCCCGCACGGTACCTGAGCTGCGGCCAAGGCTCCCGTCTGCGTGGCTGCCAGGCCCTCCCCTGTCACCAGCCACTGCTGCCAGTGTCACAGGCACAAAGAGAGAACAAGAGCGTGACAAAGGAGCCTGAGCCTCTCCTCTCTCCTCCTCTCCCTCCTCAGGCACCAATGAGGCAGCACAGCCCTGGGGACCGGGGGATGCCCCTTCCCTGCAAGCACCACCTTGGCACCACACATCCCTCCCTAAGCTCACTGCACCCCCTGCCCCAGCCAGCGACACAGGGCACGTCAGAGCAGCAGGAAACTCATCCCTGCATGCTCCTGCCCTCCATGGCACGGGCACCATGGACATCCCAGTACCCACAGGTGCCACAAGCTCAGTGCCAGAGCCCCATCTCCAAGCAAGGCTCAATGGGGACGCTGCAGGGCAAGCACACAGCCCTCTCTGTGATGCCTCAGAGGATGCTGGCACAAACCCCTCCGGCCTCATCCCCATTCCTGCAGGGCTCCAGAGCAATATTCCTCTCAGACCAGAGGAAAAGTCACCAGCCAGGGGTGCCATTTCCAGCACAAACATGTTCAGAGGGCAGCTCCACCTGGCAGGCTGCTGCTTTTGCTGTGTACCCCAAGATGCACAGCAGGTGTGTAAGTCCAGCTCTGGCACCTTTAGGCCATTTTCCCCCCTCTAACAGTCCCTTCTGCTCTGTTTCGAATCCACTTGCACCACAAACTTCTTCCTAGCATCTCCAGCTTGCCTTGCTTTGCTCCCTGCCTGTTTTCTCACCAGCTTCTGAAAAACAAGGAGAAACACATCTCCGGAGCAGCCACACACCACTGCCAGGAGCCACACCAGAAGCAGAGCAGAAGGGTGCAGAGAAATAAAATACAAAGGGAAATCAGAGTCTAGTAGCCATGACACACAGTTTCATCCTTCTCCCACCCCAGCCCAGGGAAGGCAGGGAGCTGACAAGGACAAGGGCCACTTACGCCAAGGCAAAAGCCACCAGCGCTCCCACCACCACGATGAAATCCAGGATGTTCCACAGGTCTCGGAAGTAGGAGCCATCCTGCAGGATCAAGCCCTGATCAATCATCTGGAGGGGAGATAGAGAGAGAAAAACAGGCAGGGAATGAGCAGCTCAGACACCAAGCTGGGGGACAGGGACCCTGCAGACACATCCTAGTGTCCTGGGTGTAGGACTTCATATTTTGTGGAAGACTCAACTCTGGACCAGCACTGCTGAGAGACAGACTTTTAAAGTCTTCACCATCTCAATTTTGGACCAGAACTGCAAAACTGAGCTATTTCCCAGGGATGCTGCACCCTGTCAGGGCTCTTACCTTGATCACCATCTCGAAGGTGAAGACACCAGTGAAGACATAGTCGAAATACCTCAGCACCTGCAGACAGAGGGCACAGGTGCTCTGCAGCTGCTGCTGAGCAAACCGTGCCCACCCAGACACCCAGCTACAGCAGCTTGCCTGGCTCAGAGGCAAAATGGGGTTGGTTTGCTTGTCCCAAACACAGCCTTGTCCTTAAGAGTTCAGGACAGCCCGAAACCCAGCCTATGCAGGCAGGAGGGAAACATTCCCCATGCAAATGATGCTGCTAGCCAGGATCACGTGCCCCATACCAGTGCCTGTACCAGTATCTCTCAGTCCAAGCCACTTTACAGCTGACCAGGCATCCTGGTCTCTCCCCAGGCTCTAAACCCCACGTGTGGGAAGCTGAGAGTGACTCCTATGGTTCACAACGGAAGGTGATGGCGGAGAAGTCAGATCCCAGGGCACGGTGTGAGTACCACCACCGGCTGCCCTGATCCTACAGATCCTGCCCACAGATCCCACAGAGCTAAAATCCTGCAGGAGCTCTGCCTGCACTGGTGGGGGCAGCGGGAGGGGGTTGCAATCACTTTGTTGCGGTCGGAGTTGGTGAGGACGGGATCCTCGGCGGCGAGGGCGATGCTGCTGGCAGCGATCACCAGGAGGATGCACATCTCGAAGTAGCGCAGGTTCACGATGTAGTGGCAGGCCCTCCTCACCCTGCAGGGACACAGCCACACCCCACCTGTGAGCCCCTGGCCACAGCCACAGCCCATGTGCAAAGCCCACCCTGTATTGCCACCTTCCAGGGTGGGAGATGGGATGCAAAGCCTGAGGAGCAGAAGAAGGGAGTCCAAGGGGCGTTTGGGCTTTTTGGTCCCTCTTCTCAGTTGTCTCAGCCCCGCAGCCTGGCAGGGAGAGTCCCTAAGAAATTGGGGTGCTTACTCTTCCAGGCTGCAGGATCTGGGGAAGAGCTACAAGGCAGCAGAAAACTGCAGGCAAATATAACAAACAAGGAATAAAAATCCCAACTTAGCAATCAGCAGCTGGGAGAGAGAGCCACGAGCCATGCCACTCTGTGGAACTCTGTGGCTGCTTATCAAGCCCGTCTGGGAGACACTCAGCTCCCTTCTCACAGGGATTCCCTGTTTTTGGTGATGTCTGAGGGTCCTTCCCCTTGGAGCCCTCCCCAGCCCCAGTGTGAAAAACGTCTCACGGGTTGGTGGTGCTGAAGATGAACATGGAGCTGTGCGGCACCATGGCTTTGCCCGTCTCGCTCTTTTCCTTCTTCCGCTTCTTCTTCTCCATTTCTTCCTCATCCTCTTTGGTCTCGGCCTCCTTTAAGGGGCTGGCTTCACCGTCTGTCTTGTTGCTAACTGCAGGAAAGCGAGAGCCTTTGCCCGACCTTGCACCCAGACAACATCCTGGGGTGTCCCTGCCACCTGGGCAACCCTCCTCTGAATTTCTGCTCTGAATCCCTGTGCTGCTACAGGGAGAGGCACTAGGCAGGAAGAAAACAAACCAGCTGCTGGCATGGAGCAGATGAAATGGGTTTAACAAGGCCAGTTTTCACCTTGCTGGTTAATTAATAGCACTGTTTAAAGCAGCTCACCTTGACAGCGAGGATGCTGCTAAGGGGTTTGAGTGACAGCGAGCTGCCGGAGGCTACAGATGTTCCCGGAAAAACAGGGAATGCGAGAGTTTTGCCCAGGCAGAGAGGAAGGGGAAATGATGGATGAGATGAAGGGGTGGTGGGAAATGATGGATCAGATGAAGGGGTGGATGGGAAGAGGTGAGAAAGGGACACAGCATCCCCAGGGGATGCTGGCATATCAGCATTCGGGCCCCCCTGCAAAACTGGGGTGAGATACTGCAAGGAGCAGCAAGGAGATCCCCCAGCTGATGGATGTGGACAGGAAAAGCCATGCAAGCGGCTTTCCATCCCCACGGGGTCCCCGAGGGCTGGGAGAGGGGCTCAGGAAAGAGAGACGGGTCCTCACTCTGTACCACAGCGGAGTCGTGGACATCGATCATGATGGCAGTGCTCTCGGTGGCCTTCTCGGTGTTGGGGGTGATGGAGGAGAGGTCGGGCTCGCTGCGGCTCACGCTGCGCCTGGGCTCCAGCAGCGCCTGCTCGCTCGTGTCCGGGCTGCTGCAGTCCTGCTCCGTCAGGGTGCCCGTCTTGCCCTGGGAGAGCTCGGGTGCGGCGTGTGGGGGGCTCCCCTTCTTGGCAGTCCCAAGCAGATCGGCATCGCCAGCAGGGACCCCGTTTGTCCTGGGAGAAAAGGAGGTGTGAGAATATCCAGGGACAGAAGAAGAGAATACGAGGAGCTGTGGGGACAGCCAGATGCCCTCTGCAGGCACCAACCTGATGGACTCCCCGCTCGCCTCTGGCTCCCCCGGAATCAGGGCCTCTGCTGCAGCCATGTCCCCACGCCGGTCCCCGTCCTGTGCCCCCTCGGCAGTGCTGGCCTCCTCCAGCCCCATCTCCTGGCTGGCCGAGCGGCTCCCCAAGATGCCAGCCGTGTCCTTCCCCTCCATGCGGGCTCTGCGGTGCCGGCTGCGCCGCTGGCTCTGCCTCATCCTCGCCCTGTCCTCGATGCTGCCTCCTGCCCCGTCTTGTTCTCCTGGCTCACAGTTCCCGTGGCAAGACTTCTGCTGCCACATGTCTCGCTTGGCCCGTGGCGATGTCCTGTCCTCCCCACCACCGGGGTTGGCCCCTGGGACCGGCTGCTCGGGTCCCTCGCGCTCACCCTTGCCCTGCTCCTCAGCGCATTTCTCCAGGGTGACACCTTCCCCAGGTCTCTTCCTGCGGAAGATGCTGGCGTGGGGATTGATGAGGGGCGGCTCGTCCTTGTTGATGCCCTCCTGGCTGGACATCTGCATGTGCCGGCGCAGCTGGCTCGTCCGCTGCTCCCACACCGACATGTGGTGCCGCCGGCGACGCTCCCGCCTGCAACGGGGGACGGCGAGGGGTCACCATCCCGGCTGCCCACACCGTCCCCCCGGGGAAGCACCCACCCTGGGTTTAATCTGGGAATCCCAGACAGAGGGAAGTGCCACCGCCAGGGTTACAGGCTGTGCTAAGGCTTCCTCGGTGTCCCTCTGGTGCTGGTGGGGACTGGAAATGGGGCTGGGAGTGTGCTTGTGCCCCTTCAGAAAGCATCAGGCTGATGGATGACCAGCCCCAGCAGCCTCGCTGCTGCCCTGAAGCTTTCAAGCAGTACGTCCAGTTTCTGGGAGCAGCCAGCATCCTGCCTTGCCCTATCCCAGACAGGCAGAGACCACCTTCCTCTTACGTGACTGCCTGGGGACACCTGAAATACGGGCCAAGCCCTCTTGCTGCATCCAGGGACCTCTCCTCGCCTCTCTCCCACACATCCCGGGCAGAAAGCCTGCCCTGAGGCTTGAGGAGCAGCAATTTTGACTGTCTGAGGGCAAGGTGCTGCTTCTGGGCTACACCACGAAACCTTTGCAGCCTCGTAAAGCAACACCCTGGAGAAGACAAGACGTGCCCTTCCCGACACCCCCACGGCACAGGGAAACACCCGGGAGCACACACGGGCACACACACACACACACACAATGAATTCCCACTCCCATCCCTGCCGGCCAGGCCGGAGGGGAGCAGGGTGTGCCCCGGCCCCGCGGACGGACGCACAGACAGCACAGGAGCCACAGACGGACACGCGCCCCCGCCGCCCACATACAGGTGGCTGCTGCGTGGCTCCCACATCGACATGTGGTGTCTCCTCCGCCTGTCTCTTCTGCGGGGGAAAAACAAACGGGTTCAATCCCCTCCTTCCACTCGTGTGGGCAGCGCACAGAGCTGTCCCCCCTCCCTGGGCAGGGCTCATCCTGGCCCTGTGCATCCACAGTGAGCCCCCACGGGCATGTCGGGCAAGGGCTGCCCACGCTGGCGCTGGCACTCCGTTCCCTGGGAGCTTTCCCCACGGCGTGCACGGGGAGAGCAGTGCAGGCTCCGGTCCTTCAGAACCTCCAAGATATCCTTGGATACTTAACCGCTGGCTCAAACTGCTCCAAATTCACTTCTCCCAAGAAACACGTGGCAATTGGAAAGAGGAAGCAATGCATCAGGCCAGCCCTGAGGTTCTCAGAGCCACCACCACGAGCTCACGCTGCCCTGGGAGCACAGAGGGGAAGGTGAACTTCCCCAGCAAACACAAGGCACAAGGCCAGGTTGAGATGCCGCAGAGCTGCTGTCACCTGAGCAGCCCCCACACAGAGCAAGTTAACAGGGCTGGCAGGGTGAAATTCCAGGCTTTAACCTTTGTCTCTACACAGAAAAAATTTGGATACACACAGCTTCAAGAACGCTGCTCAGAGAATGTGCAATCATAGAAACACAGAACATCCTGAGTCTGAAGGGACCCACAAGGATCACTGAATTCAGCTCCCGGCCCTGCACAGGACAACCCCAAAAATCCCACCTTGTGCCTGGCAGCACTGTCCAAACGCTTCTTGAGCTCTGGCAGGCTTGCTGTCGTAACCACTTCCCAACAGTTTGAAGACATTCCCCCTTGTCCTATCACTTGTCAAAAAACCAGAAGTCAGAAGTCCCTCTTCAGCTCTCTCAAGGTGCTCCAAAGTCTCCAGGCTTAAAAACCTCCATCCTCCCAGCCCCAGCTCACAGGAGAGGTGCTCCAGTCATGCTGGTGCTCATGGTCTCCATGGATCCCGGTGCATGGGAAGGGCCCAGTGCCATGCTCGAGGCAGGGCTGGAGCTGCCAGCACCCCCAGCATTCCCACAATGAGCTGCCAAGCCCCCAGACGCATCCACACAGCACGTCCGGCACCAATGCATGCCGGTGCATTGCTCAACACGCGCCAGCACCCGCATGTGCCCAGCTGGCAGCCCCGAGCCATCTGCACCCAGGGGTGCACACAGCGCTCCCACGGGCACCCATGCCATCCCTGGCCACGTGGGAACACCCGTGCATCCCCACACTGCCAGCAGGAACGCCCGCGCCAACCTGCAGGTGCCAGGTACCCACCTGGGTCCAAAGGCAGAGCCTGGCTCTGAGCCCCCTTCTGTGCCAGCTCTGCTCTGCCTTGCCCACCACCGTGTTGTCCCCACAGTCTCCCCACAAGCTCAGCACCAACAAAAGCACACCAGACCTGAGGCTGACCATATCAGCAAGCCTAACCCGTGGCGTCTACTGCCTGGGCCTGACCCCAATCCATCCTGGTGAGTGAGAGGAGCTGGAAAAAAGCCCCATGAATATCAATATCTCCCCTTTCGATGCCAGCAGAACAGCAAGGAAAGGTTGAAAAGCTCTGTTTTTCCAACCACCTCGATCTGGCAATGACTAGAGAGCTCTATCAGGGATGTGCAGTGTGGGCAAATCCTTTGCTGCCCTAATATATTCCATCTCCCCCTCTTCCTCTCTCCTATCTGCCCATTCCTCAGCCTCTCCCGCAGCCTAAAGCTCTCTGTTCCCTCACTTTATCCAACACATTCCCACTGGTATCCAGAAACAGAGCCAACATACAGACTCCACCACCTCACCCCTAAACCCCCCTTGTACTTGGGCAGACAGACTTATTAACAACCGATCAGCCCAAATCCAGGCTAAAATCTGTGGCTGCTGCGGGATCAGGCAGGCCTTACAAGCACACCCTGTTCCTGCTGCCCCTAAAACCATGCAGGATTTGGGACCACAGCATCCCCCCACTGCCAAACCAGGGAAGGGACTGTTCCCAAGGCTGCCTCTGACCCCCCCAGATCAGCACTCGCCTGAAGACAGCAGTTTCTCTCAGCAAATCTGCAAGAGATTCTGCCGTGAACAAGCTTGGCTGGGTTTCAAAGTATAACAAAACCTAAAATTCCCTGGGAAGGGATTCTATAAAAAAAAAAAAAAGAAGAGGGGAAAAAATAAAATAATCCCTTCAGCTGTACTGAAATGTACTGTTTTGGGAAACAAATCAAAACGCCTCGTTCCAATGTTGACTTTGAAAGTTTTATATGATTTAGACCATATGACACCGCAAAATAAAGAGAAAAAAGGCAGCTAGGAAGAGAAAAACAGAAATTTCTCCTGCTGAAATGCAGAGACAAGGCTTCTTAACACCATGCTGGAGGTTTATGTGGTTTGGGGCTTTTTTTTCTCACCCAAATCAAATTTTTGAACAATCAAACATGGTTTCACAAACCCGCTCCATCTTTCCTAACTGCATTCGCTCCCAAGGAAGGAGCCTGAGGGAGATTTGTGACACCACTGCTCCCTTCTCCCCCAGCCCTGGCTGCTCTCCTGCAGCTCTGCCATGAAGAAACACTCCCCAGGAACAAATATCACCCCTCTCAAGAATAACTTGAGATACTTTCCTCCTCCCCAGCCTCCTACCATCAGCCCTGAGTGCTTGAGCTCTATATTTGGGGCAGAAAGCCTCTTTTAGCATATTTTTGCCATGCCCAAGCACTGAGACTGCAGCTTGGTGTAGAGGTTGGCAATTTCAGGAGCTCCCTGGAGGGCTGTTCCCCATGCTGTCACCTCCCTAAAAGCACTGCTGCTCATGGGGAGCACACTCCTAGACCTCCATCCATCTTCAGGAAGATGCCCAGAAGGGGAGTCACCCCATGTGGGGACCCCTTTTTTCTTGTTGGCAGCCCCCCCAACCAGCCAGGCCAGGCTCTGCTGTGGCTCTGTGCCCTTCCAAGCCTGGCTGGGCTCAGGAGGGTCACCAGGGTGGTGCTGGGGAGTCACTCACTCGATAGCAGGCATGTTTGGGGCAGACATGGGGCTGACTTCTTTGGCTTTCTGAAGGGCATGCTTCTGGTTAAAGGCCTCCTCTTCCTCCTGCTCGTCCTGCAGAGGAAAGAGGGCATTGCTCAGTGGGGCGTCAGGGCTCTGAGGGAAAGCTCAGCCATCGGGAGCAGTGAGGGATGTGCAGGGCAGCCCTGCACAGTGAGGGACTGAGGGGGACCCAAACTTCTGATGCCTTGGAGTGGCTACCTAGAACAGAGGCTAGACAAGGTTAAGAGAATAACGTGGGTTTTTTTCTAAGGGATAATACACCTTCAACAGGCACACTTTGGGCAGTCAAAGCCTCCCAATATGGACAATGCTCACAAGTCTTTCAGATAATTATAAGATTGGTCCATTTACATATCAGGGTTTAATCCTCCAATTACAGCTTCGGGAAATGAAGTCAGATACCCCCAGTTTGCTCCCCCCATTTCACTTTTTGTTGATACTTTTCAGGGCCTGAGGCAGTAGGGCGTCCTTGAGTTTCAGGCCCAGAGGGATTGTTTTGTGTGACCAGACTGTGAAGACAGTAGCTAACACTTTATATGGAATTTACAGTTGTGCAGTAATGCAGTACAGGATTTGAAAAATATAAAATTTTAAGGCATCACTTCCAGAGACACTTCATTTCCCTTGTGCTGTGGGGATGCAGGTTCCCCACTACACCAGATCTTCCCCAAGGCATCAGTGCTGCTTGAATAAGTGAACCCAGCCCACTCCAGGCAAGAGCTGGGCTGAGCATGGTGGGACAACCCCAGACAGCACAGACCAGCTCAGCCCTCCCTTCTTCACAGCCACAGGGGCCAGACAGGCATCCCCCAAACCGAGTGGGAGGTAAGGCATCCATGAATGACCCCGGCAGAGACGGGATCGCTTTAATGAGTATGGTTGTGTCTCGGGAGCAAAGAATGTCATTAGGAGTCATTAGCGAGTATTCAGCCTTTTCAAAAACTCAGCGCTCTCTTAATTGATGCTGCCGATTCCCGTGGGGCTCTCCCATCCCTCGCACCCCAGCCCCTGGAAGTGCCATCTGCACCCTCCCACCGTGGGAGAACCCCTGCACACTTCTCTCAGGCAAACCAGCACCGTGCCCCCTTTCAGGTCAGATTTACAGCCCCTCAGTGAGCCCCAGGGATGTGAGTAACAGCCCGGGCTCCACAAAAATCTGGTCACCCCAGGATCACGGGTCTGCTCCAAAGAGTGGACACGACTCTTGCCGTTCTCTCCTACTCACCGTTATCCAGATCGTGCCCCAACAATTTTGCATTCCCCAGATATTCCCCAGCATGGTCATAAAAGTGTCTAAATTGCATCTTAAATCACATCTGCTGCCCACATCTATGGGCAAATGGGGAATAAATATTGACACCATTGGAAAATGCTTCCCACTCCACATCTCCAGAGTGCTGGGGCAGAAAACTGTCCCCACATCAGGTCTCATCCAATAGATGAGGGTTATCTCCATCTGACTGATGGCAAACAGGACTGGGGAGTTTAAATGGAGAAAGAGTTAAAGCCGTACTTGAAGCGTGGGTGTTCCTGGAGGGACCAGCAGGTTTAAGCGTTTTCCTTAAATCAAAGCCTAAATGGCTTTGCCCCCAGTCTCTCCACGGGAGAAGGAAAAGGAGCAGCAGGAACGTACCTTGGTGAGCTCCTGAGCGTTGGCCAGGTTGTCCACGGCAATGGCCAAGAAGACATTCAGCAGAGTATCTGAGAGCAGCTAAGGATGCACAAGCCGTGTGTTAAGGACATGTGTATCTGCAGCTCCCAAGGAGCCCAGCCAAAGGCACAACCTCCTCACCCATCCCACAGAAACAGCCCTCAGTGCACCTCCCCACAGCTCCTTCTCCGCCTTTGGGACACCCAGCGCTGCCAGATGTGTGTGTGGTGGGTGTCCCTCAGCTGGGAGGGGAAGAAGGGGAGGGGGATACCCCCAGAGAAGGTGAGGAGATGGGGTTGTCAGCACTGCAAGCGCAGCAGCCCAGTGGATACAGTTCCCAAACAAGGTGAGGACGATGAAGTAGATGGAGGACCACATCCCTGAGCGCACACCTCCCTGGGAGCGGATGCCGTTGTACATCACCTCGTTCCAGTCCTCGCCTGTCAGGATCTGCGGGGACACAAGGCAGCAGCTCTGTCCCCTGCACCTGCCCATTCCCTGCACATCTGTGCCCCCAACGGGTAGGCAGCATGCACACAGATCCCCTGCAATGGATCACCCAGCTCTGCAGCACCTGAGGGAGATCACACTGCTCACTGATGAGGACTTAAAGCCTCCTCAGAAGAGTTTTGAAACTCTTCATCTTCTGCAACAGAGGTGGAAGAGTTTCCATCTCTTTCCGTCCACTTTGTTGTGGAGGAGAGGAAGGAAGCAACAGCTGATAGAGGGGAAATTGTTTGGTGTAAAGAGCCCCTCCCAGCCATGGGGGAGAAACCAGCTGGTGCCAAGTCCCTTTGCTTGAGTCTCCTGGCAGCCCAGCTCCTACCTGAAACACCGTCATGATGGCTGCAGGGAAGGTGTCAAAGTTGGCCGAGGGAGTCCCATCCATGAAGTTAAACCTGGAAAGGGAACAAGGTGGGTGAAATACCAAGGTCACCAAACCCCTGACTGCTGTGCTGTCAGTTCCCTTGTGTTTAGGAGGACCTTTCCCCACTCTAGAAAAGGTCTCCTGAGCATTTGGTGCCAGAAACCAGAAGGTCTCCTGGCTAGAGGAACCAACACAGCTCAAAGGCAGCCCTCAAGCAGGGATTTTTGTGTGGGAAGAGATTGAGGGGGAAGGTACACTCTTGCTGGGCCCCTGAAGAGGGTATCACCACTTGGCTTTAATGCCAAGAAACTCCTGTTCCTCAGCCTTGAAATGACATACCTGCCTCCAAACAGCTGCATTCCCAGCAGGGCAAAGACTACAATGAAGAGGAAGAGGAGGAAGAGCAGACTGATGATAGATTTCATGGAGCTCATCAGCGAGACTACCAAATTCCTCAGGGATGCCCAGTACCTGGAAAACACAGATACTGTTGGAACACTGCCAGTGATGCTGGAGAGCAGCAGTGACTGGATCTGGTCTGCAGCCACAGTCTGAGACAGGCGCTGATGGTGGGTACGCACTTGGTTATTTTAAATATCCGCAGTAGACGAAGAGCTCGTAGAACACTGATCCCAAAAGAGGTTCCTGGCCTGAATATAGCCCAAACTACTTCGAAGATGCTTCCCACTGTGACCTGAGAAGCAGACACAGCCACAAGTCAAAGACAGGCTCAGCATGGACTGCTGTAGGGAATCTTAACATCCCCGAAGACGAGGCACCCACCACTCAGTCCAGGACCTGGTGCCTCAGGCTGTCCTGGCAGAAAGTGCTCCCTGCCCACTGTGAGGGCCATCGTGATCCCCCTTGGTGCCTTGCACTGCAGACCCCTGCCAAGCATCTCCCCCCCCACCCACAGCATCCCTGGGGCCGCTCACCCCACAGTCGAAGCAGTTGAAGGAAGAATGGAAGTAAAGGCGTGGCCCCATCCCGTACATCTTCAAGGACATCTCCAGAAGGAAGAGCCCAAGAAACAGGAACTCTGCATAGTCTGGAAGACAAAACCCAAGCGTGCTTGAGGCACTGAGCTGTGTGGAGCAGGCTGCATGCACCCACCAGTTGAGCATCCGGCAGGCCACGGAGATGGGACAAGTCAAGGACCATGCTGCATCCCCAAACTCTCAGGTTTTGGGATCAGGGAATTTGATCTGTGAGGAGCTAAACTGTATGTAAAAGAGCATCAGGCCCACGAGTTAATCATTCAGGGAAGATGCACCAGTGTCCCAGGGGACTGAGAGGACCAGACATGGCCAGCGCGGAGCAGAGCAGCTCTTTGGCATTAAACCACAGCGGCTGAGGAGCCTACAAAGGCAACAACCACACGACACTGTAGGGGAATATTATCAACCTGGATTAAAATCATTGCATGGCTGGAATTTGGCCAGGGAAACAGAGCCGAACAGCCAAGAGCCAGTGAAAAGCCTTTCCAGCTATTTCATGAACATTTAGCAGGCGAGAGCCTGGCTCTTCACCTTTCCCAGAAGATGCTTCTCACCACGACCAGCTGCTGCACCATGCTGCAGCATGCTGGGAGCCCGGCAGGCCTGAGCCTACTGCTGCAGATTTGGGTAGAGCTGGGGCTTGACATGTGACACATTTTCAAGGTGAGGAAGAATGACACATCTGAGAAAGCAGCACTGTCCCCACTGCAGCAGCTCAGGAGTGACACGTGGGGCTGACCACGCTGCTCTGCAGTAGCCCACACTGCAGTGCTTCTGAGAACTGATCTTGTGCCCTGGCCCATGCTGGGCTCAGGGAGGCTCCATAACTGGGAACCTCCAAGGCTGGGATTCCCTCACCATGCTCTGCAGAAGGATTTTAACCAGGATGTTCTGCCATGACCAGTCCCATCCCTGCACATTTCCACCTTTCCAGCAATGGCTTGTGCACATTCAAAAGTGGTTTTCCAGCAAGCTTTCCATCACCACTATTCACAATTTTGGGATAAACTCCACTGAGACTGGCAGTGTTTCTCTTTCATGACAAACACATCAGACCTGAAGGACACAGAGCCAGCACAACTCCTCCGTGTTTGCTCACAAGGCTGAGACATCCCTCAGTGGCCACGGGGCCAAGGGCAAAGCTGAATTAAACATCTCTGCATGGTCGTTTGTTATCAACAATGGATGGAGCTGAGGTTATTCCCCACCCAGCTCCACACCAGCACGACTGTGGTGGGACTCATCCCTGTGTGCCTCGGGACAAGCAACACTCTCCCACCTACACCAAACTCACAGAGGAAGTGGGTGAGCCAGGCTGGCTGGTTGTGATGGACGATGGCCACGCAGGCAGTGTTGAGAGCCACCAGGCTCAGGACGATCCAGTAGAAGACCTGGGATTTGACCATGTGGCGGACGGAGATGCGCAGGAGCCGCTCCTTGTGCCGCAAGTAGGAGGCACCGTCCACCCTGGCACCTTTGAGGCCAGATTGACTCGAGGGGTTACCTAAAGGAAAAAGAAGGGGAACAAGGAGTTGGATGCTCCAGCCTCCCCTGCAATATGAGACAGGACACATTGCTCTTATGGGGCACAACTCATCCAGAGAATTTTTACGTGGCAGCAGGAGGTTTGCTGCTAAACTAGCAGAGATGTCTGGTTTGTGACACTCTCCATGTGATGGGTGGGACTGTGAGAACCCAATCAGCTAACAGAGGTTTGGGGTAAGCAAACTGCAGACTGCACTGACCCAAGGTTGGATTAAGACGTCTCCTCTGCGCCAGCCTCCGCTCGCCCACGGAGGCGATGTCCACACAGTGCTCGTCACCCGACATGGCATCCGTGCGGTTCCGCTTGATGGTGGCTCGCCTGAGCACTGGGAAGGCAAGAGGAACAAGTGTTGGAGTCTCCGTGGCCCAACTCTGCCAGTAGCCAGCCCATTGGATCAGGACCTGGTGATCAGTACTCAGGTCTGGTTACAGGACAAAGAGCCCCAAGTGATCCTAGTCCACAGCTATCCCTTGTGTGGATCAGACACCTCTCAGCCCCTACGCTCTCTCAGGAGTTATGGTGCCAATCCACCTCCCCTCGCCCCTCTCTTGTGCTGCAGACCCCACTGGGGCCTCCCCATCACAGCTGGAGGGTCTGAGCCTCCAGCTCTAGGCAGGCAGAAGGAAGGGCAGGCAGATTTTAAGGGCATTGCTGGTCTTACCGTCTAAGGCTGAGGTCCCCGAATTTTTGTTCTCTTCGGCCAGCATGACTTCCTCTACGCAAAACACAGTTCAGCATCAGGAGACAAGGCACTGTCATGTATCACTGCCTGGTACTTAAGAACCTCCCCCAGCCCAGAGGCTGGCTCTGCAAACTCTTACCAAGTATTGGTTAAGGGCCCAAAAGCAAATTCTGGAGGGTGGCAAGTTGCTGCTACCAAACATCGCATCAAGAAAGAAGAATTACTTGTGATCAGCCCTTCTCCCTCCACTGTTATTAAGATCATGAAGGAAGTTGAACATTGTGGGCAGGTCTGGGGCTCAAACAACTCAGCCCAGGGCTAAAACTGAGGTCTGGTGCTCAGGACTCATTTGAAGACACCCATCTTTTACAAGTCTGAACGCTGGATGAAAGTGTAAATCTTTCCTTCCCAGAGCTGAATGCACTGGCCTCATTCCTAGGAGGAGCAAGCAAGGACATGGGCTGTGGCAGTTTGGGAACCAGCACCCACAGGCTGCCATGCCTGGTGTCAGGAGGAAGCCTGGAACCTCCACCCCTCCCAGCCCAGGTCCAGGAGTCCCAAGGTAGGAACCAGTAAGTTCATCCCCTCCAGATGACTCCAGGAGGAGATTTAACTGGAAAACCCACTGCCCACCACTGCAGGGGACTCCAGCAAACGCCGGGAGAGAGGAAACCATGGCAGAGCACAGCTGACGGCCGTGTTGCTCACAGCCTCCCTGGAGATGTAACGTGCTTTGTGCACAGAATGTGACAATTTCATACCACCGAACATGAGGACTCACTGCAGCTTGGTGATGTCCTTGCTTGCAGCCTGGTTGGGCCATCCCACCAAGCTCACCCACACACTCAACATCACCACGTGAGCACCTTGGGCACTTCAGTGTTCAGGGATTCCTTTCCATCCCCAGAACACCACACACCCAGCAGTCTGTGGTGCCCGTTGTCCCCCCAGATGTCCCCTGGCCACCATCCTTTACCCGCTTTGTCTATCCACGCCCGGTAGCCGTTGAGCTCCCGCTCGATCTGCTGCTGGCGCCGCAGCTTCATGAAGGCTCGGCGGTTCTCCACGCGCTCTCTCTCTTTGGCAAACTCCCTGGGGAAGGGCAGAAGGGAGGGCTGAGAGCAGGGCCGAGGGGCAGCAGGACGCCCAGGGGGTTGGAGAACCACAGCACAGAAAGCAGGGACCGAGGTGGTTGTTGGGGACATGCACGGCTATCCCCAGCCAAAGTGTGGCCAGAGGATGGGAGAATGATCAGGGAGGAGAAAAGCAGGACTGGATGGATGTGAGCAAAGGCCCTGCTTGATTACTCAGTCCTGCATGCTCCAGCTGGGAGCTGCTGCTCCTCAGGGAGGATGATCCCAGTGCCACCCAACTCCAGAGCCAGCTCAGCTTCTGTGTGTCCCTTCAGGGAATAAAAACTGGGCACTGTGAGGAGGCACTGACGGGATGGAGGAGGGAGGGTCCTGTCCCTTGCCTTCACCTCCTCCTCTGAATCCTTTTCCTTTCCAGCCTATCCTTGGAGTATTTTCCCAGAACTTGAGACATGCCTGTCCTCCTCTGGATCTCAGGGTCTCCCAGGAGCTGTCCAGGAGTGATGACCATCACAGAGACTCCCTGCCTCATCCCTAAGTTCCTGCATCTACAGAACTCTAGCCCACACCCTCAGCCTCTTCCCGGTTCCAGGATGCTCCGAGGGAAGCGTGATTACAAAGAGCAAATGGCACTGTTCTCTCTGTGAGAGGAACATCTCTCTCCCCAGAGACCAGCAGCAATCTCAGGCCTCAGAAAAATAAAAACTATTCCAAAGACCGGAAAGAGCTGGTCTGTCTGCTGCAAGAGAGCGTTCAAGTGCATTACCCCAGCTGAGCTATTACACCCTGATGCTGTGTGGGCTTTTGCATGTGTGTGTGTGTCTGTGTGTGTGTGAGAGAGTGTGTTTGTGTGGAAAGCCCGGAATGTTCCCTGCATCTCTTGTTTAAGATCCCCAGACAATTCAAGAGCTTTTAATTCCACCCCAGGAAGGTGAAGTTTCCTGCCGCTCCGGCATTAAGTGTCAAATGACTCCCCCTCCAGCACTGGCTTTCAGACTGAAATGAGACTTTCTTCCTGGGGCAGGGAAGTGGGGCAGGGAAACAAAAGGCAAAGAAGAGAAAAGCAGCCTAAGTGAAAGGAAGGAGGGTGGGAGGAGATGGGGGAGAAGGCAGGACCTCCCCAGCCAAGAGTGAAATGCACTCTCAGTTTTGGGCATGCCATGCCAAAGCACCTCCTTGCTCTAGCTGGGAGAAAGGCAGGAGCATTTTGGCTGTGCAATCACCCCTCACCACCCTTTGTTTGGAAATTTGGGATGTCAAGGCATGAGAAAATGCTGTTTGGAGTCAGAGTTGGAGGGGAAGTTTCCTGTCCTCTGGTCCTCCCATCTCAGCCCCACGGGCCATAAATTCTACAGCAGCCTTGGCAGCACTTTTCCCAGACCCCGTAGATACCAAATCCTAGAATGATTTGGACTGGAAGAGGCCTTAAAGACCACCTCATTCCTTGCCATGGACTGGGACACCTTCCACTACCCTAGGCTGCTGAGAGTCCCATCCAGCCTGGCTGTGATCACTCCCAAGGATGGGAAACCACAACTACTCTGGGCACCCTGTGCCAGGGCCCCACCACCCTCACAGGCAAGAATTTGTCCCTAATATCTAATCCAACCCTGCTCTCTGTCAGTGGCTAGCCATTCCCCTTTGTCTTATAACTACATGGCCTTGTCCAAAGTCCCTCTCCAGCTCTCTTGAAGCCTCTTTAGGCCCTGGAAGGGGCTCTAAGGTCTCTCCAGAGTCTTCCCCACTCCAGGATGAACAACACCAACCCTCTCAGCTTGTGGGCAACTGGCAGAACTTGGGAAGCTCCTCCTGATTTGTGTCAGCCGAGAACCTGGCCACTCTCTGCTGCCTCCTGCTCACCCATCCCTCTGTCCTCCAGCTCCTTTGGCTGCATGGCAAGAGAAACCATCATCATGTGCCCACAGTGGAAGCCACCCAGGAGGACCAGCTGAGCCTCAAGCCACCTCTTCCTGCAGAGGGGAAGGGGGGCATTGGAGAAGGTGCTCACCAAGCAACACTTTCCCCCTTTCCCTGAGGCAGCCCTTTTGCTCGTGGAGCACTGATTTGCAGGAGGCTGGTGCCACACGCACTCAGGGACAAGGTCCGTGCAGCTCCCCGAGGGAGCCACTTCCCACTCACTTGATCCCTAATGGAGCTTAATTGCTTTTGTCCATTAGAAGGAGGAAGGGGTGGCAGAAAGGGGAGGGGGGGAGGAAGAAAAAAAGTTAATCTCAACTTAATGAATTATTACATTTCGGAGAGACACGTTCCCGAGCAGGGCAGCAGCGGGGGCTGGTGACATCTGAGAGTGGGTAGGCGATGCTGACAGATCAAGGATTGCTCAGAGCCAATTTGCAGCAGCGGGTAGAGATAATACTGTGTGAGTGAGAACAGAGCCAGCCACGGTGACTGACAACAGCTTGGGAAGGCTCCAAGTCACAGGCAGGGCAGCCTGGCATCGCCCAGAGAGTGGGTGCTGTCTCCCATTGAAGGGCTCTGCTCCTGCTCTCTTGGGGTTACATCACCAGGGATGGCCAAATTCTGCCCTGCAAAGAGCCCAGGGAGGTGCTGCCCCATGGGGTCCCTGCAAGGGGGCTCAGAGCACCCCAGCAGATTGCACAGTCTCCACCAGCAACACCTCTGCTTGTCCACCCGGGTCTTCTGGCCCCAAATCCCAATGGCTCCAGCTCAAAAACATCCATTAGTGATGCCAACCTTGTGTCACTGCAGCCCCTCTCTGCCCAGCCTCGTGAAGCCAAAGACACTCAGAGAGCTCTAGAGGCAATTGCTGAAGGCCCTGGTGGGGTTTGGGGATAAATATGCCATCTGTCCTCCTGTTCCCAATGGCACCATTCCCCCACACTCTGTGCCCAGCCCACTGGGGCAAAGAGAGCACAGGTGCTTCGCTCCTCCTCTGCCTGCAAATTCTCCTCCACAGCCTTGGCATTTCCCTCATGTGGCCTGCGAGCATCTCTGCTCCTGGCAGGAGACCCCTGGGGACACCACCATGCTCAGCAACATTCCTCTACAGGCCCTCACAGCCACCATCACACCAGGAAAGGTGTGAAACCAGGATGGTTTTAGTCCAACGTTATCTGCTCTAAGGACTGGAAAGCCCAGGTCTGGTTTCAGTGGGAGAACCACTTGTGGAAGCATCCACAAAAATTGATCCCCTCTTAAAATAAAAACAAAACACAAGAAAACAGGAAAAAAACCCAAACAACCAATTATAAGAAAACCAAGAACCAAAAACCAGTTAAGAGAATAAGAATATCATTTATATCAATCAAGAATATCAATTAAGAATATCACAACCACTACAATCCATTTTTTTCTATTTTTTAGGCCATCCTTGAGTTCAAAGCAGGTAAATGGTGCTAGTCACATCAATGCTGTGGCCTCTATGCTTTGAAACAACAAACCATCTATCTTCAAACCCATCAATTCATCACCTCTTGTCTCTATTAAAGGCGCTTCCAGCAAACCAGTTATCAAATCAGCCTTAAAACAACTTGAGGCAGCAGAAAGGATAGGATGGAAACCAGAGAAATACTGGATTACACACTGAGCATGTGGCAGCAGCACCCCTCTGCTATGAAAAAACCCAAATATAATGGGATGCATAACAAGAGAGACCATCTGTAAGACATCAGGTAACACTACTGCTCTCCTCAGGTCTTGGCTCATGGCCCCCTTTCAGGTTTGAGCACCACAATCTGAGGAAAAACTGCCTCTGAGCCTGCAGGAGGGTGTCAGAGGTGATTATGGGACAGAACTGACAACAGACGGTGTGGCAAACACAGCTGAGGCAGTTGCAAAGCGGGGGGATCAGATGGTATTTACCCAAGAGGTGTACAGGAACTGCAGGGAGAGTGTGGAACTGACTGTGCAGGCTGGAACCTGGAGCCTGCTTAAACAGACGGTGACAGCAGAACTGGCACTGCAGACTGGGATTATTGCACTGCACCCACGGCAGAGGCAGCAGCAGGGTGTCCAAAAGGTACCAAAACCTCTGCAGGGGTTCGGTGCCCGCTTTGAAGGAGACCACACGTTTTTCAGTGAGAGTAATCGCTTGGTTTAAGTTCACTTGAACTTGGCCAGAGGCAGAGAAGATTGAAGGCCAGGCTGGATGGAGTTCTGAACAACCTGGTCTAGTTGAAGATGCCCCTGCTCACTGCAGGGAGTTAGACCAGATGGCCTTTAAAAGTCCCTTCCAACCCCAACCATTCTGTGATTCCTTAACAAAGCTGTGCTGTCTCAAGAAAGTCTTCTCTGAAGCACCAAGCGGTGAAGAGAAAGGACACAAAAAGAAAGGCAAATAGCAACACCTCATTTCTTGTACTGCCTGTCCACCAGCTTTGATCACCCCCGTGCCCTTGGGCAGGAGCTCTGTGTCACCCCGGTGTGACAAAGCTGCAGTGGGAGGGCACAGCTGACGCTGCTGAGGAGGGCACATTTCTAGAGCGCTGGCAGTCACAGGAGCCGGGGAAGGAAGAGCTGACAAGCTGCTGGTGACATGAACAGTAAAACGGGAAGGAGCTGGGAGATACCAGAGAGCGGGTGCTGTCTCCCATTGAAGGGCTCTGCTCCTGCTCTCTTGGGGTTACATCACCAGGGATGGCCAAATTCTGCCCTGCAAAGAGCCCAGGGAGGTGCTGCCCCATGGGGTCCCTGCAAGAGGGCTCAGAGCACCCCAGCAGATTGCACAGTCTCCACCAGCAACACCTCTGCTTGTCCACTGGGGTCTTCTGGCCCCAAATCCCAATGGCTCCAGCTCAAAAACATCCATTAGCCCTGAGATGACCCATTACATCACTACCCCAGTTAAGAAGGGGCAGGTGCTGATGGGCACCTTCTACCCTGTGGAAAACACACCTGGATTTCTCCAAGGCCAAATGTGCTGCTGCCAAACTGAGTGGGGAAGTGGGCACATCAGAAGGGAGAGCAATCCTGCAGGAAGACCTGAGCAGGCTGGAAGGGTGGCCTAATGAGAACCTTATG